CTGTCACTAACAGATTGGGAAAAAGAAGTGGGTCTCATCTCACAGCCCGTGGGTTTTAAAAAATGACACTCGAATTTAGTTTGTGCGCAGGGGCGCCAAAGGGGAGTCACACTGTGTCAAATAGAGGGTACCAATCAGATTGTCTTGTCGATCTCCACGACGTGTTGAATTTAATATGACAAAAAAATCTTACAAGCCGTAAGGGGGGGGGAGGGGTACCCCAATTTCCCTCCCTCCCCTTAGCTACGGCCTTGCCGGTATTTCCTTATCCTCCTAGTTTGCCTCCTTGATAGAAATTGGACATGTGAGGCACCTTTGCAAATCAGGAAAGAAAACTTCTTTTCTTTTTAAGATCTTAAAAATATTATCTGTGGCACCTAAAAGTCGCCTACTCAATTTTAACGAACAAATATTTTTAACCCCGTTTATGTAGATAGATCTTACTGTCCAAATACTTTGACTAAAAAACTTATTTAAAAGGTTTCTCCGATTGAAATCATATACAAGAGCATACCTTTAATATAAAACATGAGTTTTACCAAGCTTTGAAAATAAGCTTTGAAAATCCTGCATGAATTTCAAAGAAATAGAATAGGGGTCACCGTGTTCGTCTGGTAGTAGCAGCCTCTTTTACGCGACGCCCTCTCCCCTCCCCCTCCCGGCCCTGGTCGTCTCCGTCCTTGGTTCTTCACTCTAGTTTTCTTCGGGTCAGCTCCAATCATCCCGGAACCGTGCGTTTCTTGGCTCTCCCTCTTCCATTTCATTTTCAATTTCCGCATACCTTGTTGGAAAGACGCTAATAGGAGTGCGACGAGTACGTCGTACCCCATTACAAGTACATCTTCATGATAAAGGCATCTTCAGTCATATGATTGGCACACTTTATCGTTGCTGATAGCGGTCAAAGTTTTCCGAAGGTTCCTCAACATCTTTATTGCTTTTTAGGGATTCTTGCCCGTTCTTTTATATTCCTACGTTGTTAACCGCAAGTGGAAGTTCGGTCTACTGTCGCATTTGAAACTTCAGAATCATCCAGCTTTCACCACTCGGCGTTTGCCGTTACTTCAACCGTTTACTTATATAAAATTCCCTTGGTTTTCCAAGGTAGCTACTTTCTTTTTTCCCGACAACTCTTTCACTAAACGGGGTTCACTGTTCAACAAGAAATGCAGAATGTGAAGACTTTCAGTTTGGAGCGAGAGCTGATAAGTGATGAACCAAATTCGTCTCTCGAAGTTCCCCTTCCCCGCGTGGTATCATAGAAGAACAAGAAAAGTCTTGGCGATAAAGAGGCGATAAAGAGGTGGGGGATTAGCGGGATAAAATAGATGAAGGCTTCAAATTAAGATAGCCCATAGCCTCTACAAGGTCATGTAAATGATTGGCGCTTTAGTCTTGATTGCTATGCTTTAAAAACCGAAGAGATCTTGCAGTACCTGTAGGAACACAAGCTAGGAGTTGGCCACGTTTATCGTACAGCGTTGATTCTTTTAGTCATTCCTGTTGTAACCAGCTCCACCAACTTGGTGAGAATCTGTTCCATCTTTGATCTCATTGTCACAATTTCCTCAGTGACATAATGACTTGTCCGGGGACAGAAAAATGTGCCTATTGTTGTAAGTCACATACTTTTTCTCAAATCTGATTATTATAGGAATGACCAGTGGACATTCTAACAGAGATATTCGTTCCGAATTAAATGGGTTCATTACAACAGGTTTCCAGTGCTAGTGTATGTACCCTGTGCTATGTTCGTCATTTTAACATTTAACTCCTGAATATAATAAGCTCCTAACTCCATAGAATGACATAATTTTCACCTGAGTATCACCATTAATCCTAGATTGCTTCGGTTTACTTTACTTCGCTTTGTGATTTGTTCAGAAAACTTTGGCTAACTTCCATAGCAATAAAATTCTATTTAAAAACTAATTGCAGATCGGTCACTAGCATTTTCCGTGCTTTGGGCAATATTTTTGTTTTTTACTTTGAGTTGTTTTGTTTTTAATGACGAATTCCTTAAGGTTAGTTTCGGTATACGACACGTTACGAAATTCACTTGAGCGAATACGACACGCTACGAAATTCACTCGAACGAATACGACACGCTACGAATATTCACTCGAACGAATACGACACGTTACGAATATTCACTCGAACGATACAATATTTGGCAAACAGGTAATAAGACTCGACAAATCAATTCTTTGGGGCCGCTTCGAGGGACTAGTATCTAATTTTTTCTCATAATATCACCCGTGAAACAGATATGAAGTTGACGAGAAAAAAGAAAATGATCACCAACTAAAGAAACTCTTGATTGTTAAACGAATTCTCCTTGTCAGCACCTTAGGGAATGTATAGAGAACAGTATGGAGAATATGCATACTGATGAAGGGGTGTAAAGGGTTTAATTGATAGAGGAGTCATCTTGACAAAATATCGCTGCATACAAATTCTCACAATTCCAAACATTATCCAGCAAGCAGAAGGTGACGATGGACAAATTTACCAGCCAAAGAGTTAAATGATTTAAATTCAGACTCTCCTTATTAATTTAGAAGGAAACGTGGAACAGATATTGAGGAGAGTTACGAATGAGATCTCGAGAATAAAAGAAACTTTGCTTATTCATCAGGAGAGGGGAGGACGGCCCTGTTTAACCCCTTAACTCCCAGGTGTGATTAACATAAAACTTCTCCCTATAACATCCATACATTATTCAACAAACAGGTAATGAGAATACTCAAACTTATCAGGTTAAATTAGGTTATTATCTTGGTTTGCCACTAATTCTCGTACCTGGTTTACAAGAGAAAGTGTCGCAGTTTGAGGAGAGCGTTAAAAATTAAATCTTGGGAGCTACAAGGTCAAGGGTGGAAGGTAGGAGTAAAGGTACAAAGAAGCGCTGGAACTGGGTAAGAAAAGAGAAATCCTGTCCCCTTGTTCCTTAATGCAGACGATTGCAGGAGGTGAAAACGCCATTAATTCTCAGAATTTGCCTATAATTCAAAGAAACTGACTCTGGGGATGGAAAGGGAAGAACGGTAAAATGGAAATAACTTGAAAAACGAAAGGAAACGATCAGAAAGAACATTTATTAAGGTGTGAAAATGGTGTGTTGGTCGGTATTATTCGACTCTGTTTACAACCTTCGATGATCCGCTTGGAAAAGTAAATCATGTCAGAGTTCCAGGCAGGCGTACAAAGCTACAAATTCCTCGCAAGAGCTCAAGGATTAACCATATGGTAATTTAGTATTATCAACTGAGTTGATAACGTAAATTGGCCACCGTAAATAAATAAAACCCTTAAAAAAATTTTTTTTCTGCTCTTTACGGTGGCCAATTTACGTTAACAACTCAGTTGATAATACTAAATTACCCTGTTATACTCTCCCAACGACGCAGCACCACAGTTTCTCTAGAAACTTACCACCTTTATTCACTACATGTTTGCATAGCTTACTAATCTGTTTGCTTCAAGTTATACTCGAGGTCCCCCAGATTTCTCGCGCAAAAAGATACAACTAGATGAGCAGAATAGTTTCTTTTATTGATAGATAATATTTTACGCTATTTACATTTTAAGCCAAGTAAATAATTACTCCAACAACTCGAATAACACACTAGGTCAAATGCTTGTGTCGTCGTTTCCCTCTCTTTGCAGTCTTTTCCACAAACATAACCTTGCCTACAACACAATGCGGACACTGAATACCTTTGGTCAGGGCGTACTTTGAAAGAGAAGTTTGGCAAAAACTCTATAAATAAATATACGAAATAAACTGAATAAAATCTTGAATCGACCAGCGACAGCTTTTTTTTACAAGCATGAATTTCTGCTACTTCGTCACGTTAACTTAATTCGCCCATTGAAATCTGCATTGCCCTCCACGCAGCCCAGATTGTCTTTTATCTATTACGATTTACCTCAGTACCTATCTACTAACATTAAGTAACATCTGTGAAACTTTTAAATCCCAGACGAGATTGGCAAGTAATTTCCCCTCTAAACTTCAGTACCTTATCCAGCAAAACAACGATGAGATTAAACAAATAGGTGATTGCTCTCTTGAAGTCATGCCAAAGTCTCTCAAGTAAATTACAATACAATGAATCAAGACAAGAAGGGAAGGTTACTTATCAGATCTTGGGATTTAAAGAGTTCAGGTTTGCCCTGAGATTAACACGTCAATGACGAAGACCAAAGGTTAATTGTTCAGAGTACTACTGCATACATTTCAGATCTCGTAGTGGTTACTAGTAGCCTTACACATCTTTATAATCAACTCTTAGGCTCGTGAAAACGCATGCTTGGGTCACTGCTCAAAAACAGCTACGTTTTATCGCGTTTACAGTTATACTAGCGCACAAAATTACCTTTACATATTCCTTATCCTGTTTTAAAACTCAAATCAGCATGCAAAATAGTACTGGCAATAGCAAATTATTATCAGATAGAGCAAATCTGCTCTAAATACTTTGCTCTCTCACCTATGTGCTTTTCTGTTAATGAACTGAAATAAAACGGGCCAGCTATTTTCAGTTTACAAGATTATCGAAATGAGTATCATTCAGAAATAACATTAAAGTTGATATCATTAGATAATCCTCTCTCTCACCGGGCCAATTTCCTTTAAATCTTTATGAATGATCTTTCACAATGTTTCACAATGTAATACTTTTTTGTGACAGCGAACGCCTTGAGTTTCATTGTGGTGTGGCATGTTTAAGTGTACCTGAGCAAATTAGATTTTTATAGGTGCATAGCGTTTAATAAAGAAGGTGTCTTCGATGTAATCACAGTTTTAAAGTTCACTGTATACTCATATCCTATAAATTGACAAGGGATATCAATATAAAACAATTTTGATTTAAGTGCTAATTTACTAATACAGCCTTTAATTTTATCTTACGTATTAAAATGCAGTTATTTTATATCGTTATTATATCATTTAACGCGCGCATGTCTTAAGCAAGACTGTTCTGCAGCCCCACTCCCTCTCCCAAAAATCTAGTCACTTCGCTGAAAACCTCCTAAAAAGGTTCCGCAACTCCTAACTCAGCTGTTCAGCAGGCTCGCCGTCTCCACGGTAACGGCTGCAATTTTTGTTATAAATATAAGAAGAACAAGTGGTAGGAATTCGACATAAACACTTCTGATATAGGTGTCCTTTTATAGCGCTCTCCGGAAATATTGAGTCGATTTTGTGAGTGGTACGTTCTCCTGAGCCATCGTCGTTATACGAGTTATTTCTTTTCTTTATGGTATCAAAACAGTGCACAAGAAATACGTGCTGTGTAACTCAGAGATTATGGATGACCCTGGAGTACTACCAAGTCAATTTTACACATATTTATATGGTCAAGTACACAAAAAATAACTTAGGAATTGAAACGTCCGTCTGATGGGTATTCATTTGTAGAACAAAAGGGGACTTCATGTAATAATATTTCTAAATAAACGTCTCTTGAATTACTTAAGTAGAACAAGGTTCTTATTGCGTTAATGCAATCTTTTTAAGTAGCGATGATCACCTTATCATATATAGAGCATCTTCTGCGAGGAATTTTGTCTGTGTTTACGTCGTTCTGTGTTCCATTACGGGCGTCCTGTCCGCTGATCCATGTAAGTCCATTGTCGATGTAAGGTCCGAACTTGCGGTGCTGCTTCCCAGTCCAAGCATGTTGTTTGAGGACACCGAGGCCGGGTAGCCGAAACTTTGCTGGTTTACCGTGCAGGGTGGGTAAGACTGCCCCACTTGACACGATGGGTAAGTAGCAACTTGTGGCACACTATACGACGGGTACATATGGCCGTGTGCGTGCTGTGAAAGGAAACTGGAGGGCATTCCACTCATTGAATAAGGAGGTCTGGGGTATGGACTGTATCGCATGTCCATATGCATCGAGCGCGTGCTCTGTATTTTTAGATGGGGCGAGGCCGAGCAAGATACACTCTCGCTTGAATTTGTCGGCAAAATTACAGGTTTGGTGTCTTCAGAGATGTGCAAGCTGGATGGTCGGGAAAAGTCGCTATACTGTTGACTTTGTGTTAGGATCTCCGGCGCAGGTAGTGCCTTTGGTACCGGAGAGGGAGAATGGGTCAGGGTGTTAGAGCAGGTACGACCCTTGTCGACTTGAATCACAGGTTTTATGTCCTCAGTGGATGATGGGATACCTGACAAGGGGCTACCATCAACTGGTGAACCTAGGAAAGCGGCAGACCATCTGTTAGAGAATATTTCAGTGATGTTTTTGTTTAAAAGTTTTACGTGTTGCAAAAAGCGATTTGTGCTTTGCAATTTAAAGTCAACTTTGAACGCTGCTTCTGCTCTAAGAATTTTGTATCAATCTACGAAGGAAAACTGATTTTTACTTGGCTTTTCCTGATTGTATCATATAAAAGTCATTATCTCGGTTGCCTATGTAAAAAATCAGTATCACGTGAGCACGAAAACTTCTTTGCTACAGAAAATTTTCATTTTGACAAAAAAGCCTCAACGACAGGTTATGAAGAGAGAAATTTCCACAGATCACATTAAAAAATTCAGCGTCAACATCTATGCTGGTATAATTTCTTGCTTAGTACCTAAGCCACAGGGTACCAAAATGGTTTTACCGATAAGCCGAACTCGAGACGGCATTAATATTGCTCCGTGACTGTTTTATAGAAGTACAATGAAATTATTCCGTTTCTGGGTCAGTTGATTTTTATCCTCTAATCCTCGAGAAGTATCAGTCAATTTCCCGACCTACTTGAGCGAGTTGACGGTTTAATCACAGAAACGACGATTACATTATGAAGTTCGAAAACCTCTTTTTGTTATCTACATTGGAAAAAAATCGGTCAATAAACATAAACTCCATCATTTCAATGAGACAGGGTGGTAACTTGTAGTTCTTTGATTCTTTTGTCTCGGTTTCTTTAGAGCGACCCACTGTTTAAACACGTGCACTATCTCGACAAAATAAATCAAAAAGAAAAGGGGAAAACAGAGATTTGGACTCGCTGAGCGACGCGACCTTAAATTGTGATCTTAAAGTAGAACAAATTTTGTTTTCTCCGCTAAAAAATCCTGACCTAAAGTTTTCACAACTTCATTAAAACACGTTGTGAAGATGAAAGAGTTATATGTGTTTAGTTTCTTTCCAAAACACACTATGAACATAACTAACCATACGTTTTAGATTATTATTGAAGACCCAAGACCTTACACATCGACAAACCTTTCCGACCTAACAAATGCTGGTAAATACTTAGGATAGAATATATTTTATGGAAACGCGACGGGTCTATTGTTAGAAGAAAGAGATAATGCAAAGCCTGGATAGCATAAATTGAATATTCTCTTCAAGTGAAACCAGATCACAAAGGTAAGGCGCGGAAAGAACCTATTGAAAGATCCCATCACAGCCTCATCAACGAGTTGGTAGGCGGACTTCAAATTTCCGAAAGGATTTGAACAAGGCAATGGTGTAAAAATTTCATTTGTAGTCAATAAACTGCGATATTTCAGCTATTTTCAGCTTCATCCTTTTAATTGTGTGCTGCAGCTGAAATATTAATTATTTTCAAAGCCTCTTTTTTCCGGTAGCTTTGTTTACTCGCTTTCCAGTTCAGCTGTGATTTCGTCAAGTTTTTAAAAGAAAACAATACAAATATCCACGACGGGAAAATAATAAATGCTATTGCTTCGAGTTCAAAACAGCCGAAAAATATCTCTAGGGTCGGTTTGCGATTCAGTAAAAGTATCGCAAAAAAAAAAAAAAAACTACGAAGAATTGTACCTATGACCAAAATTTAAAGTTTTAAAATGCGTAAGCGACCTACACTGGAGGGAACAAGTTCATTCCACGTGCTATAGTTTGCTATCCAAACAAGTCAAGATCCCTTCAGCTACAATTGCTTCTTAATTTACCGAAGGAGAGAGGATTTCTTTCATCTTCAATGACTCCATTGTGTTCTACATCTGAGTAGCATAATAATAAAAATTCCCTACAAATCCTCAAAACGACCTAGCAACAAATACCTTTGAAAAGGATTGGAGAAAGCCAAACACAACGAAGAGACTATACTTAGTTGGAAGATTTAAATAATTAAAGCTTTTACACATTTAAATGGAACCGCAGATTCGCTTGAGACTAAATGTCTTATTCAAAGAAACAAAAACGAACTTAGTGTTCAATGAAAAGCCCGAGGCGAAACAAGTATTGCGCACAAAAATGAAAGAAATCCTCTTGAACGTGAAACAGGTATGAGAACAAAAACAAACTTTCTTTAAATCGACTCAATGCGCTACTGTCCAACGAAAAAACGCAAATAAAGGGGAATTTCTTTAAACGTAAATGCGTCCTTGAGCAAACTTTATCGTGCACATCAATGACTTTTTTAGGTAATGATTAGAAAATATACACTAGGGCGTGATAATTTTGCTGATAGTTTCTAAGACGGTTTTGGAACTGACAAGCGCTAGGGAAACCAACGAAACATATCGAGTGCGCTGATCTGTAATCGAAACGAAAATTGGGAGGTGATACAGGCACCCAAACCAAATAATAGAAAATTAAGCTTTTCCTTTATGAGTATTGAATAGCTTTTACCATCTAGGCTGTTTTTTTGCGCACGAAATTTAACTTCAACGTGGATAGAAGCGTCGACTAAGATGCCTCGCATTTCACTTTGCTACATCAAAACCTATAGTAGTTTAGCGACGAAAACAAGTTGAGTGATTTATTACACGGCGTTACTGAGAGACGGATCGCGAATTGACAGCTTTTCAAACAAGAAAGTTAAAAACATATTTCCTGGTCCGTCGGTTTCCTGGTTACCTGGTGTTATAGGCGATGTTTGAGACACGAATTGCAAACAGCACCCATCTCAATGTGTCGCAAGTTGATCCACTGCATCTAGAAAGCCGGCAATGTTTGATTTACTATTTTGCTATTATTATTTTCGTTTTTTAAATGAGCGTGCGATCATGATCTAACTTTTTCATAAGCCCTCTCTATTATAGACTACCAGGAAAATTAAAGCTCACTTCAAGAATATTTACGAAAAAGATAAGCTATAGTGTTTTGATGCTTAAACTTGAATTGAAATTATGCAAGGGATAAATAAACGTCTTTTAAAAATTAAAACTATTGGCCACAGAGCTAAGTAGTTTGTTACAACAGTTAAATTCTTCATATGCACCTGCGAGTAGGACAGATTTAGAATTTATTTAAGGGGGCGGATTGGTGTTTTTCATTATGAGCGACAACACTTCTATTGTTCCCTTTCGAAAGCTTTAGAAAACACTTTTAATGGGTGGAACTTTTTATTCATGTAAAAGGTTGTATAAAAAATATAGTGTAATTTAGTTTGTCATTCGATACGAGAAAGCTGAACACCTTGCTTTCGACTGTGGTTTCATTAAAAACAATCAGTTTTTCGCCCTGATTACATAAACACATCCAGACGGAAACTGAAGAAAGCATCATAGATTTCGCACGTTTGGTCTTCATTAAGACTTCTCGTAAAATCGTCATATTTCACTGCAAATTTGCTCAACGTTTCTGACAGAAAAATGAAAGCCACTCATAAAGTTGTTTTCTGTGTTTTTGCCAGTTACATCAAAATTGTGCACAGAAAAAAAACTTCTGTTTCTAATAAGCTAATGACCACCAATACTGAACCTGCATTTTAACAACGCGTGCGAAACAGGTTCGTCTGGGAAACAATAGAAGTGCATTTTAAAGTATAGGGTCTAAAATTTTTCGTTTACTGGTAGCTAAATCTGTCATAATATTTCCTACATGGCTCTAAGAATATGCACACTCTTCTAGCAGAGCTGATTTTTGCTTCGTGCGTTGGTACGTTTGAGGAGAGGCGGGAAAACTCGGTCAGTAACTGTAAATGTATCCTCGAGCTTCCAACAAAAGATAGAATTATCACCCACTTTTACCCAGCTTAACTTAATAAGTTCAGGACTACCAGCACGAAATCAAGACAACAAGAGTTTGAAATGAACCATTCATTCATCCTTGTTCATCGTTACCCCTAGGCACCTCTACAATTCATAATCAAAGCTGATTGTTTCAAGAGCCGACGAACATTTGCACCTCGAGTGAGCAGTCTAAAGAGGAGCAGAATTAAAAACTTCCAATATTTCACACTTTGGGAAGCAAACACTGGCACCAAACTTCATACGCAAACAGAAATACGGAAATGAAATATTCTCTGACGCTAAAGAAAAGCAAAATGATAAAAATTTCAATCACACTGAATTGAGACACGCCCAACTCTTCCGCGGATATATTTTTTCTTTAGCTGTGATTACTGTATCTTCCGTAATATCTCCGTTTCATCTCCGTTTCATAGGCCTTACGATTATACCTGTAATATGAAAACCTAGGTAAACACTCACACCAAATTCAGAGTTACCAAGAAACAAAACGCCTGTAGTCCTGTGTCACTTTAACATATCGCACTTTTAGTGCTGAATTCAGTGAAATATTTACGGCCATGGCGAAAATTATATTAAAAGGCTCGCAAAATTGAATCGTCGAGAATGTGTTGACGTTCCAACGCTACGTCACTTTGAGCGCTTTCCTTCGCAGTTAGCAGTAGAATGTTGCTTTTTTTATTTACTACAATGAAACGAAAGGCCAAAGCTAATCGAACGAGGGATCTTAATTTGGATCCTTTCACATAATGTTTAAATCACTGCTGTAAAAAGCTAAATTATTTTGGAAGCGTTTGTCTATCCTGAAGAGCAAAAACCGTCGACGTTGGTGTAATTATCCTCTTTCCTGTTAGCAATGTGAAAATAGGTTTCTATACTGATATGCTGAAAAAACTAGTTTCAAAAAGCTTAAATAGAAAACACAGCACTGAAAGACAAAGAGAGTTAGACAGCCCTGCTTTTCTTTCCACCGAAACTAAGTGGAAGCTTCTAATTATGATGAAAAGGAGTATACAATTGAGACTTGAATCAATGAGAGAGCTTTCTACAAACCCAGAAGAAAAAAGGTTTATTCGGAAAGAACCAACAAAAAGACATCAGAATTAAATCAATTGCCCATAAACCAGCCGTATTTCTTAGCCAAACAGTACAAAAACGTTTTTCCTGGTGAATAAACGAAGGAAGAATTTTTAAATGAAATTGTCCCGTTTAGGAGTTTATCTTGGCAGCAGCTGTGACAATTCTCTTGAGATTAATCCAAATCTTTCTTTAGTTCGTTTTATCTCTACTTTGAAAGAATCGCAATGAATGAAGACGATCTTTGACTCCAAAACTCGAAATATCAATGTAAATCCTGACTACCTAGTCATGGATCCAAGGTTACACAGAGCACTGGCGTTAAAAGGGAACTTTTAGATGATACTAAGTCCGGATATAAAATAATTTCGGAACAAACTTGGCAATAAAACCATTAGCCATTTAATGCCTGGAATTCTTTAACCAAAAGTAAGATTCTGAGAGTTAAACCTAACTGAGCAAGTTAATTATAAGATCTTGAATGGCGCAGAAGTTGTCCCATTGCGGTAAGCGGCACATTTCTTTTGAGCGAACTCGCTATTCAAAGAAGGCGGTGTCGTAAAACGAATTAAACTCACCGGTGTGAATTTCGTTTGAAGAACCAGGAACGTCGGGTTCTTTGCTATCTTCGTCCTCGTCGCTGTTATTAACATCGTCTTCTTCGTTTAGGGAATGATCTGGGTTGCTGCGTTGCCTTCAAAATGAATATAGAGGTGATAAGACAAGTGTGAAAATCGCGCACGCAGGATATTCATTGTGGCTTGTTCGCGGCTTTGTGTGTCAAAACAGTTGTTTTCTCATGTTTCTTTGTACCAAAAATTTGAGGCCTTCGCCTTGGGTATTAACTACTTGTACCCAAGGGGTCAGCGTTTAAGTGAAACAGATTAACATGACCCTAGGACCATGGTGAAAATGAAATTCAAATAGATCGGTGTCATACAACAGGGTACAGTGAGTTGTACCTTCGCTCCAAACGCCTTCGATGACCTGCTCCGTGTTCTCGGAAACCTTTCGCAAAAGGGTTGTTGTCGATTTTCAACTTGGTTATCTATTAGGGAAAAATTTATCACAGTCGTGAGTTTAGTAGAATGAAGTCCTATACTTTTCTTTTCCCCAGAGCTGTGTTACCAAAAGACCAGGGATAACTTAATAATTCAACGGCCAGGTTATGGTTTAAAGGACGTTTGTCACTCGAAGCGTCAGTACCAAGGGAAGGATGAACATTTTAATTCCTCAATACGATTTTATTGCGGATATTTAAAAACACGAAAACTGTAAACATTCACGAGCAAGTATGAAGTATTAAAATCGAAACACCTCGGCAAATACTAAAAAGTCTCCCATCTTACTTTCGAATAGAATCGATTTATTTTCAAGAGAAGCGCAGGTTGTATTTACCACAATATTCAACGTCAGAGAATAATTTTCCTGAATATTCTACTTCTCCAAGACATTACAAAAGAAAAATATTGGAGAACAACGAGGAGAGATAAATTTAAGCTCTTTTAATCTAGCAATTTTCATTCAAAGCTTATTCAAAAGACACGCCAACCTTGCCAATTTGGCGTTCAAATTGGAACATTGTTAAAACTTCGGATAGCGCTAACCTACAGTAGATATTACCGTTAGATGTATCGCTTCAAGTAGGAAGAAAATCGAAGTGTAAAATAAATAAAGTTCTTGACTTTTAACGAATTTTAGAAGACACTCAAATCTTTGTCAAAGGGACCCTCTTATAACTGTATTTTTATGAACTTATTACTTTTTGTATGAGTGAAAATAAACTTGATATGGAAAGATCGGCCATTCTTCCAATGAACCGATAACGATTCGACAACAAAGCTCAAACAGCTCCTTGAATGAAAGCGCTAATACTCGAAACTCCCTCTTAAGCCAAATCAAATTTCACGAACACAAAACCTCTTGAAAAAAGGGACAAGGATTTGAAATTCAACCCAAGCGGTGAAAGCAATCGCTGACTTTACACTGGACTGACACAAACCTTCTCATTTTGATAAGCCGTCACTCCGATAAATGCCGTCTCAGGAAATGAAAAAGTCTTAAAATTGCTGTAGGGATGTTTGTAAGTATCATCCGCTCTTACAACATGGATTCTTGGTTGGTATTTGTGCATCGAGTTTAGGATTGTCTGTGGGATAGAAAAGCGAGTAAACAGTAAGTAACTAAAGAGATAAATCGGCCATCAACCACAATCAACAAACAAAAATAATTACAGATGTGACGGCAATGTATGAAAAAACGAATAAAGAGGCTTGATTTCAAAGGCTTAAAAGGAACTTACATAGCCGTATTTGTCTGCGATGTTGTTCGTCAATTTCATCTTGTGAAATGAAATGGTTTTCTGCATCCATTGCGCTCCAGTACTTGGTGAATCCGGATGCATGTAGAGAGGTTTAGGCATCTCAGGGTCGGCTTTGCCAGCCACCATCCAGCGACAATTGTGGAACTTGTATCGGCAGTCATCTGCGGGGACAATGTCCATGAGAAAGAAATATTTTGCCCGAGGGTCCAGGCCAGTCACGCGCACCTTCACTGGCGGAAACATACGCCTGTTGACAGAAGACAAAAATATTAGGACACGAACGTTTCAAATTTACATGGGCGATGAAATCGGCGACGGTTCTTGGCCGGCTTAAAAGTGTTACACCTCAAGGAGTGAAATGTGTTCAACGGGATTGTTTAGCTTTTTCGCAGACAAAATTGTCTGTTTAATTTGGAACCAATTTGGTATTTGCAACGCATCGAGACCTCCAGGCGTTTAAATCGACACAATTCCTCGCTGCGAAATTCCAAGACTACATAAACCGGACATTTGCTGGCCAAAAGTGAAAGCGTTGTACCTTCCTGCTTTGGTTATAACCATTTCTGTTTTCTCCTCGTAAAAACTCTGCCATAGATCCTTATTTTCTAAGTTGACATCGATACTCTCATGTTCCGAATCGTGAACTGGCATATGAACTTGTTGCGGAGGACCAGGAATAGCACTTGGGCCGAAGTGAGAAGGTTGTTTTGCTATTTGCGGTGGATGGTACGGAGAATATGAAAACGGACCGTTCGAGTTTAAATTGTTCGAAATCGACGAGCTACTTCCTGGCACGCCAGGGATGAATTGTGAGCAGCCTTCAAGCAAAGAACTGACGCGAAAATCCCTCATCCTCGCTGGGTAGAACGGATAGTATGCCATACTCTCACTCGCTGTTACTACTCCTCTCTCACGCTCTCTGAGCTTGAACTCGTGTATTGTTGATGAAGGTTTATTCCAGCTGCGTCGGAACAAGGTAAGATGTCATAAGAACTAATGAACCCCGCCACCTGATTGGTTGAGCGTTTTGCAGCGACCAATCAGAAGCGGCGAGATTAATGCTTGACATGTGTAATTGACATGCAATCCATTGAGGAGGTGATATTTTTGTGTTCTTTTCTGAAAGAATTAGCACCTTTTTCATGTTCCTTGTCACATATTCTAATGTCAGCCAGTAGATTTCGTCGCCTAACCGATCGCCAGCTATGTCACAATGTTTTTATTATAGAAACGTTTCTTCCTGTTTCTGAAAAGCGCGCACATTCATGTCGCCAACGCCAAATAGTTTCTAAAGATCGTGTCCAGGAAACGGATTCCTGGTATGCGGTTAGAAAACAGCAGGCATACATTCCAGATTTATTCTGAAATCTCCACTAGAAGCTGGGTGTGTGCTTTGCGTATAAAATCGCGCAGGAATTGAAATCTGGCTTCCGGCGGATCAAAACAATCCTGATAAGATAGCTTTGAAAATTGTCACCAAAGCCGACAGGTTGGCGCCATTTCTGTTTCCAAAATCGCACACAGATTTATGAAATCGTCATAACGAAAGGTTGTAAACTAAAACCTACGGAAGACTGTCAGACTAAAAAGTTACTAAGCAGAAATCTACAATTCCCAAGACAATAAACTTAATGACTTGCGGCAAGAATCATGTAACTGGTAACAGATGACTACCTGGTCAATTTCAGCAGGTTATGCGGTATTTGGGCGGGTGTACCGAAATTTTAAAGCGCTCTAGGTTGTTCTTTGCGATTCGCTTGGCTCGTAAAAAGTCCTGTAATTACTGCCTTTGTTTATTGCGTGTCTCTTTCACGCGAATCGCATCAATCGTAATGTGTCTTAGCACTATAGCCTACTCTAGTGTGTTAAAGAGCGCGCAAATTCTCTAAACAGTCAAACAATTTCAAACGGATAATTGGTAGTTCTTTGTGCGCGCTCTCTTTTTAGCTGTTCGCCGTGTGGGACTCGATTAAGTCTTTCTGTCTTTGTTCATCAAAGAGCTCGCTGTTATTGAAGTGTATTGACTCATCTAATTAGCACATGGCTCGAGCTAGATCTGAATATAGCAAGCTATTATCAATAAAAAAACTATTATAAAAGTCCTACAGAAGCAGGTCTTAATATCCCTTATCAAGTCGGACTATTTTGCTCTCAATGACTTGCCCATTGCAGAAGTATTTGTTGAACAAAAGTCAGCCAAAACAGAAGTAAACTCTGTCGAACCCTCTTGAAATTAATACTGTGGGGATAAAATGTTTAAATTTTTATGACTTACGACCAAACAGCTGTGAATAAAAAAACACCGTGGCCACAAAAATTCCAGATATTACCAAAATAAGACGAATAACAATAGTTTTATTCCAGTCATTTTTCTTTTTATTTTGAAAAAACCTGTCTATGTTTTGAGTTTTTCCTCACTGAACTTGTGAAAATAGAAGCTTCCGATTCTTTTGAGTGAAATGCAAACATGGAACAAGATTGTCGCTTTGCAAAAATTTTCCTTGACACGTCTATTAATTTTAACGTTGAAATTTTGCGCGTATTAGATGTGTTCTGTACGAAAAAAACTCTCTACTTCGCGCGCTTGGATGATGTCCATATGAACTTGTTTATCATCTCAGAGAAAGGAAATAAGGTAAGACTTCGCTGGCTATCCGAGACATATCAACTGCGACCACGTCCTTAGAGAGAATGAATACATTTCCTACGTGGAATTAATTTTAATAACAAAACAAAGCCGCGAAGTTTCTCTTCTGTGTTTGCAGGACCGCAACCTAGGATCCGGTGCAATGCTTCCAGTTCTAAACAGTCGAGGAAATTGAAAAATGTCTGAAAAGAGGCCCGCCTTTAGCAGCCACGGGTTTTACACGCGTTTGTCAGCAAACGGATGTGAATTATTCCTGGTGTTATGCCAACGCAAAAGCGCCAGGCCACAAAAGCTTGCTCTCGCATCCATAGTGAATTAGTAACTGGAACTAAAGCGATAATCCGTTCCAACTCCTGGCAGGTGAAACCCAATGATCAATTATGAATGAACCTCTTTCACAAGAGCTCTTGAAAAAAGGGCCTTAATGCACTTAAAATTCCTGCGACTTAGCTTTACTGTCATATGCATATATACCGCTAAAAAATACTTCAGAATGTTACTTCATATCCACTCCTTAAGATTTATTATTTCAACCATTCTTGCAGTAAATTAAACTTTTTCGATCTATAGATCTGCAGTACAAACACAACTGATGGAAGGTGTCGGCTATTTTGGCACCACACCATGCTTCTTTCATTCATCCCAAATGTACTCTGACACGGTCAAGTAAACACTAAAAAAATTAATTTACTTCAGCTTTAAACATTGAAAATTTAAAGCTGGATAATGCTGAATGTCTCTAACAAATTAGAGGTGATATGTAAAAATTGTCGGCTGTTTCTCTCGACCGCTTACGAGCCAGCCCCTAAGAACGCATCGCACTTAATTGGGTCTTATCCAATTTGACTTGCTGGTAAAAAAAAAATGTTCAGGAAAATAGAAGATTGATGAGAATTCTCTGGACATCTTCCAACACGTGTATTGTGGTGTTTGTACAGAAGATTAAACAGTTTTAAGCTGTTGGTTTCAATTCAATGCACGTGCTTAACTGGTATGGCAGCGTGTGGGCGGTTAGAAGTGTATCATGAAGTTTAAGGCACTCGAAGTTGTTAATTGCGGACAATGTTTTCCCATCACTTCACTGTGGTTACGCTGCTCTCTCAAACTTAATTTCCCTCCTATTAGTTTGAGACAATCCAGGTGTTTCGAAAAAATTTGTGATTTAATACGAGACCAACCGGACGCCAATTTCTTTTAATAGATATTGATGATGATGAGATCTTTAAATTTCACTTGATGTACAATTGGTTTCCATATCACCCTGAATGTTTGCTATCAATGCCAACCTCAACTGACAATGAGTCATTCTGAAGTGCCAAAATTTGCAAAAAACCTGAAATTTTCAATTATACTGCCAGCAAGGTCTTACTTCAGCTCTACAGGTGGGAAAAGTTAAACCTTTTCATCTACCTGTTTTTTTACGCTTTGTCAACCACATTGACAGTTTCTAGAATTCATTCAATTCACCAAGGGAGCTTCCTTGTTGATACGTTGATACAAGTGACTTTAGAGATAGCTTTCCTTACTTACTTTAGCCATCAGTGCTAAAACTTGCTGTTAAACAGAATGATTTTGCTCAAATCATGTTATTTCCTAAACTCACTTATTCGTAAAATCTCGATACGGAGCTAAGAATCTAATGTTAATTAAAGCCGAATCCTGCCGTACAACTTTCCATTAATGCTTCCGTTTTTAAAATCACGTTGTTTTAGTCCATCAGGTCTTGCCTACAATTGAGTATTTACTTATTTCATTCCCTGTGTCTTTTGTTCCTTCCGGCACAAACAGCATCCATCCACACTCAAGTTTCTGCCAAAATTTCGACTCCTTTCTTCAGAGGGCGTGCTCTAACCGGGTGCTTAATAGGTATATTTTCACCTATCACTTGCCGCTACCGTTTAACTCTTCTTCATATATCTATACATTCCTTCAATCTATTGAGGAAAAGTTTTCCCGAGCTCGTATTTGGTTTTGATCGTGTCGAAGACCAAGTTTCTTGAAAGAGAGAGTTTTTTGTGATATCGCGAGAGAGAACGTGTCAAATCGTTCAGTTCTTGCATCACGTAGAGTCAATGCTCGGCAAATTTTCAGAGAAAATATTCAGAGCCTTTCTTTTAGCCCTTCCTTGTATGTTTTTATAGAATAAGTACGATATTGTACGTGGAAAAAGACAGAAACGATTCATTCGAAGTGATCACAAGACGAAAATTTTCCAAGAAAAGTTATCGGCCGGGAAAAGTGAAGAAAAAACAAATCCCTCCTTGTTTCGTTTTCAACATAAGGAAATGTCCAAGAGGAACCCAAAAAGCAATCCCCACCTAAAGAGATCGAATCTGGTAGTAGCTCTACTAATCTTCAACCGCTAAGAGATAACATATCTAAAAGACAGAGAAGTTGACCTCCTTCGCCACCGTTGCACGGGCGAGTCACGCAACACTCTCCCTTCTCAGCAAACTCACGCACACACCCACACGCGCTCTCGTGTTGCCACGCGAATCCAAATAAGAGTCGAGAAGGAGATAACAGACTAATAAAGTATGATTTAAGTCTGGCGATGATATCGCTCTTAAAACTCTCCTTCTGTTTTATTACAATGAGGGCGTTTTTTTTCGTTCACAGCTTTTAGTATAAGGGCTTCGTCTTGAACACTGTATGTGAGAACAAAACGTGATTTGCAGCCCTCCAGGCGATCAAGGTCGATATCGTGTGATAAAGCAAGAGGTTCTCATACGCGGCTCTATCAAAATAGTATAGTTTAAAGAGATACAATACTTGTTTACACATCGGATTAGCCCGAAAATATCGCAGTTTTTAATAAGAAATTGTTTGATTTTGAAGTACTGTAATAGCCCTTCCTTTCATTGCTGGCACTTCTCCGAGCTATTTCCTACTATTCCCATCAATTTTGGCATGGGTATACGTTAAAAATTTTACTTTATCACGCAGAAAATAATTCATCATTTATTTTTATTTACTCTCTTTTTTCCTTTTCAATATTCTCAAACATCAAATGAAAACTTGCATTTTATTTTTCTTCAGTGTCTGTTCCAAACTATATCCTTTTTTAAGACAAGCTAACTTTTGTGTAAATCCAAGCTGAATGCATCACAAAAAGGTAAAACTTTGACCCACCCACCTACTGGTCTTTGAGTTTTAATCAAACACTTTTTATAAGTTGTTTGTTTATTTGAACACGTTGGGAAGAAGCAATTACCACTGGCTAACGTCCATGGACGAAAAATTGTTCATACACGAAACAGTTTTTCCGGTCAACAGCTTTTCAAGTATATTCTTCTTCGGAACAAAAACTATTCGACCTAATGCCTAATCTGGTGAAGTTCTGTAAATTCATTTACCAGTGCATAATTATCAGTCTGGTATCAATGTCTGGCTGTCTCGAGTGAGTATTTTTCAAAAGCACCGCTATACATCGATATCCCGGAAAAATGATCGTGGTTGGCTCAAAGCAAAGCCGACGACTTTTTAGATCGAACAAAGGGGAAAGGCTTAGAATTAAACGAGCCATTCATCCTAAGAGTCATTGAGACTCTCTTCATAACAGCTGAGTGGTTGGCTTACGAGTGTGAATTGGACAAAGCGTCTACACCACTCACTTTTTACATGCATCCTCAACAAATAACATCCTACCTTATTCCAGGTCATTTTGTACCGGGGAAGGTGTAATGGCTTCCACTAGTCGTCTCTAAAGTAAGGTACATTTGGCGAATTCATCGTGTTACCCGCCGCAAACCCTCTGCGACAAATTTTCGGCTTAGCATCACAGACAGAAATTTCACACTTCTATGTCGAGAAAATTAGCCTCATTTGATTGGCTTACTCGCTCACTCGTACCATCGTTACTAAGTTACTGATGTAAAGAAGCCGGTGTTCTTTGCTTCAACTCCAGATCATAGATCACCATAAAAAAGAAATAAAAACAAACTCAAGGTAAAAAAGTTTAAGATAAGAAAAACCAAGTAAACAACCAGAGCAACTGATTTAATTTGTCAGGTAAATACACACGTTTTTGTTTACAATTTTAGCTCCGTTACTCAAACACTTTTAAGGTGGCGTTTAGTGTAGTTGAACCCGACTCCGAAATTGTTTGGTTTTTTTTCTCTCCTACAGTGTCGAGCAATTGAACGCTGATAAAAAAAAGTCAAATATGGTCACACAGAGACTGAATAGCTTCCTTGATTTTTTGGGTTGGCGCACCATGTCAAATCACAGGTGTATATCAGTGGATATGGCATGCAGATTTATTGAATGACTTGGGTCCTCAATCTTGCATATGTTGAGGCACGATTAAGATTTTCTGTTACGGACACGTCTTTCGTACTCAGAGTTGATAAACACTCAGCAGTTAATGCAATTTTTCCCAGTAAAGGACCAAACCTTTCACTTTACGAACGTTAAAAGAATAGATCCACCGGTTACGCACACAATTAAACATGGAATGACTGCGGGTAGGCAAATTTGAACAGGTATCAATTTAGATGGTTACATATGCCTCGAAAGACACGTGGATGTGATGTTTGTTGTCTCGATAGCGAGAAATTTAACCCCAAAACTACTCAAGAGCTGCCGTTTGGAATTCTCGCGATTCTTGACACTTCTATCGATCAGGGCGCGGCGGGTGAGAGTCGGATTTATTTCCTTCAAAGACGGTAAATTTTATGATAACTTATATTTAGTACAAAACGCTCGCTGCGTTTTAATGCAAAAATGGTTTGAAACTCTCTGGAGATTCGGTAGAAGTGAAGCAAGGTATTTCATGACGGCGACAGTTTCATCGCCACACACATCTTGCAGATATCAAATTTTGTTGCCATGCCTGTGTAAAGCACCATGCAAAATATCTTTTGTTTTATTTTCATTAAAGTTTGATGAGGTTTCACAATAAGTTGTAATGACCAATCATTACAGGTGGCTATATGCAGCCGATGGTGGCTTCGAGAACAAATTGGCACCGGCTTAAACTTGTCAACAAGTCCAATTGAAAACCATAGTGAGCGTGTGGCAAAAATTATTGAAAATTTTTTCTTCCCCTGTCTCGTAAAATAAGACCTAAAAAATTTCCTTGACATCTCATTTTAGCTTACATCTCTTTAAAATGTTCCGAGAGGAAAAAAAATGTTATACTATTCAATAATACAACAGACAATGATTTAATATCATAGCTGTTTTGTTCTCAGGCTTTTCACACCATCGACTTAAAAGCTTTTATGTTCATTGGAGTTTTTTAGCTAAAAACAGGTTTTTTAATATTAGTGCGATTAAACTAAGCTGTTGTGGTCGACTCAAAGGGGAAAATGAACTCTATTTAAATACAGCCGAACAGGATTAACAAGCTTCCGTTCAGATGTTGAAATTCTCGCGAACATCTAGAAAGCCCCTCCTCCTGGGTAATATTCAAACGTTTTAAGTCGCTTTTTTAATTTTCTTGAAACTGAAAGATTATCAACATATCTGCTACTAATAAAGCCCAGTATCTTCAGAAAAGAATAGGCAAATCAACTTTAGAAAACAGCCGCGGAAACAATAGCGGTATCCCACACTTAAAATTCTCCTGATGAACCTCTATTGTATGTTCCCATGGACTGCTAACACAAAATTGTTTTAATAGACTGAAGAGGTAAAGAGGGAGTTATATCTCTGATCAACAAGCGAGAATGTGGGCAGTTCCTAAAGCCGTTTGAATTCCAAACTTGTCAACTTGTTGTTGTGACAATATTTGCTTGTGGGTAGTTGAAAAGTGATTGTTTCCTCGAATTGTGAATAAATCACAACCGCCCCTTTCCATCATCTGCAGGTCGTAATTATCACCGCATCGAACTAATATTTACCATACTCAGTACAGACGGGACTTATTGGATGTTTTGAACAAAATTCAGAGGCTTACGAATCGTTTTGAAGATGAATTATTCATTTCAGTTCATATATAGCCCGCGTGGTCATCGATCGAAGGGAGAAGGAGGGGGAAAGTTGATTGATTCAAGAGGGAGGTATATTCCTGAAGTTGGGTGCGACTTGCGAAGACAGCGCATCGTGGACGAAGTAACTTCCCCCTCCTTCCCCTATCCTTCCCTCCGCTAGCCAAGCGGGATATTTCAATGAAATCTACCGTAAAACATGAATTTTTCAAGCGAATTAACCAAGTACCCCGTTTGTAGCACTATCTAGTGAGGCCTAAGGTATTGAATTGTATTTATAAAAAAGAAAGTTTGATCGATGTCATCGTAAAGATTTGGGCTCTATCTCGAGCAGTGCTCTCTCACGATAAGTTGGATCCCGTTGCAGTAAAAAAAAAAAAAAAATACAGATATAGCTTGACGCAAAGTCTCCGGCCATATGACTGAAGTAACTAGTTCTCAGTTATCTAAAAGTGTGACATAAAATGCTCAATAACGAGCCATGAGTATGTAACATGAGTTTTAAGGTTCTGCTTACAGTCGGAATATGTGGATCGACGGTAAATCACTTTCAGTTAATAAAAAGATAGCATTTCAAACAGTAATTATAGTAATAATAACAATAATGACGGGAACGGAAACATTCCACGAAGTGTGCGGCTCTTTCCTCCACTGTTTCCAATTAGAATTGGAATTTAGAATGTTGGTTTTTGTGAAGGGAGGAAAAGAAGTACCAGGAGAAAAACATTCGGGGCAAGGACGGGAACCAACAACAAACTCAACCCACATGTGATGTCAGTTCTGGGAATCGAACTCAGGCCACAGCGGTGGGAATCGAACCCGGGCCACCCTCTCACTACTGTAGGAATGAAAACACAGGTTGAAAACTTCAAGAAATGGAAAAATAGTTTGGTTTATTTTTCCATTGATTACCTAGTTTGAGGCGTTGACCAGACACGCTTGATACTTTTTACCCTGGGCTTCAAAGCGAAGAAGTCGATTAAGGAAGGGCAAATTGTCACACTTCCTGCTCACAGACATAATCTCAAGAAGACAAAGCATTTTAACTCAGAAATGACTGTTTAATATCATTTACAACTTCACTGTACATGTTTCTAGTTGTTATTATTTATATCATGGTCATTCCTTTCACCTTGTACAGTTTAACACTAGTTCACTACCTGGGTACCCTGTTTTCCAATTTAACCCTTCACTCCCACGAGTAAGTGATGAGTCGTTCTTCCTTAAAACATCAAAACATCATTATACAGGAAAGTGATGGAAAGCAGACTTATATTTCACTTAAGGGATAAAGTTAGACTAAAGCCAAATTCTCAAAGGTTGAATTAAAAAGATATATGGAGGACAGTAGGGAGAATTGATACTTAAATCTGGGGAGTGAAAAATCGTGGGAGTGAAAGGAACGAAACATGGAGGAATATATGAACTTCTCCTGCAGGCATAACCGGGGGTACTCTCTCTGATAACCTAGGGTGTGTCTCTTCACTACGTTCCTAATCGTCACATAGATTCGTTATATTACAACACTATAATAAATTAATACTGTCTTCACAATATTCACACAATATTTAACACATTATACAAATAAATAAAGATCAACTTTTTGAAATACAGCAACACATCTTATGGCGCATAGGAGTCAAACCACAAACTACTGATTAATTCACAATAGAAGCATTTACATGGCTTAGGAGTCCTGTGATTTTCTTCGAGAAATTCGATTTCTTTCACCTCAAACGAACAATTGAGCCTGCAATGTAATTTTTCAACTACACTACTTGCTATCACTGCAAATTGTTACAGTGCACAAAAGTTCTTCTAACATAACAGGGCAAGTTTTAATTTAGTACCGACAGTATTCCGGGATTGATTTCTTTGCTTTTGTTTAGTTCGTTTTGTGATTAGTTCAGGAAACTCGTGCTGCTCTCTCAACCAATCAGATCAAAACTAAAACAAATCGCGACTTGGTCACTTGCGTTTTCCCGCGCTTCAGGCAGTTTGCTCTTCTTTACTTCGCGTTCTCATTCCCTCTTAACGATACTTTCCTTCCTTTGATTGACAGCTGTCATTACTCTGGTTTTGATTATACGACACTCAATCGAAATGCGCTTTATAAGTGACCCAAAAACTTAATATTTCAGCTAGCACGTGACAGAAACCAGTTAAAGGGAGTTCTGACCGACACATGATCGGAGATATAATCTGATTGCTGCATTCAAACGAAAAAGGAAAACAATACAATTTTTGTTCGGCTAAAATTATTTGGCATGACACTCTCAACCTGCTGATCAAAGCAAGTCTGGAATCATTAAAAAATCATAACGTAAATACTTTTCAATATATACTCTTAGAACTTAATATAATAAATACATTAATTATTTACAATATCATTTTCTTGTATGTCACAATGTGCTCTTTTTTTTAAGACATTGACAACTGAAAAAGGCCAGCTCTATTTCTTAACAAATGAAAATGATTACGCACTAGTGTTTAACGATTATTTTTTCAGATCATCAAGATTTTTGTTTCGATTGCTTAGAAATTATGTCCAAGTTAAAATTTCAAGAAACATCTATGACAAATTCTCACTTGCAAGATATCTTAATGTACCTGGATTTATAAATTCACACTTAGAACAAAAAAAAAAAAGAAGAAAATGGACGACGAATGTTCGACGCTATTCGATTAAGTTAAATTTCTTCCTTATTACAAGACAGTCAAGTCTGGACATAGATAAACTATAATAACGGCATATGTTCTGCAATAATATTACACTATAAGTAAAAATACATGTCTATGTATGGACCAGCCAGATAATTGACAGCTAAATAACATAACATAATATTCATTGGTTACTCTTTCATTCTTTGTTAATCAATAATTATTTCGTGGTTACAACTTTGCTATTCTAAATCGCCGACATCTCTTACAGGTTGACTGTTAAACACAGGGTGAAACAGCATACACTAACACAAAACACACGAAGGGAAACGCCCCTGAAAATATGTGCCTTTGTTCAATGAAAATCCTAAATAAAACTGTTTTTTTAAAAATCTGAGTTAGCGTCCCATGAATAGAGGGTTTCACTACACTTTCTCAACAGCGCAGAAATGTTTACTTACACACAGTTTTATCTAAATAACCCAAAGTTTACGATATAGACAGGAGAAAGCGTGAAATCTCAAAACAATTTCAGAAGCTCAATGCCAGTCTGGCCAAGAAAGTAAGTGCCACAAAAGCCGTGTTATGTAAGCATAACAATGGTTGCCAGTCTCCCATTCGAGATGGCAAAACTAGTTCGCTACTTACAAGGGTGGCCTGGGACTCGAACCACGGACTTTGAGGCATCGGTTCAACTCACTAGAAAAAGGAAGCCGAACATGTTCAAACGAACACCCTTTTTTCGAGAGATCTGGCTGAAACGTAAGTCACGTGGTATGTAAAACACGTGTCTCAGACGTGAGACACTTGAGGAGAAGCCCTGAGATCTTCGCAAAACCGCGCACACAAATGAAAATGATCTCTGTAAATATGTACAATTCCTCTCTTAAATGCAATCCTCTACAAGTTACTGACTTTAAGAGTGATTTTCCTCGACTACTGTTCATTAAACTTACTCACCGACCGCCCCTTAGTCTGTCTAAAGGAAGAGTAATTGAACGATCCTGATATTGTCGAGCAATCCTTATCAGATTCAAACGAAGGTTTGTCTGAAATTGACCGTTTTAGCCTGTGTCTTGTCTTAGACACACGCGAGGGAAGGCCAAAACAACCGCGCCTCAGGATCAAACGAGAATTTCCCACTGCAGGCCTTGAAATAGTTTGTGTAGTGAGCGCAGTCAAATGAGCCGCGTAACCGTCTTTTAGGAACTGAAAACAAAGAAAGAGATACTTTGTTGACATAATAAAACCCTTCAGACTTGGGCGAGAGGAATCAGCTGCCATTTTTAGGTGCAATGTTAATATTGAAGGCATGCAAACTTGTTATTCCAAATGGATGCGAGAACTTCCTAACGCTTGAGATCTCCCCTGGTACTTAGAGCAAATAAATCCTGCTGTGCGCGGGAGGAGGTTTAGAGAGCAAAAACTGAAAGGTGCGCGAGTAGACCAAGGGGAATCTATCAAACTAATACCTCTCTGTCGACAAGAAACCTTTTTCATTCGCGCGCGTTTAAACTCGAACCTCAGATAATCACCTTGGCACCGGCTGTGCAGTTCAATCTAGATGAACGAACGGAAACTTTTCTGTGTGCTGCAAGGCACTCAACAGAGCCGAAAAATTACCTGAGTTTGTTTGGAGTATTTCCTTGGATGGTATTTTCCCACTGTGTATATCTGATGTGGTTGGACTCCAATTGACGAATACACCGATATGTCTTTTACTGATCCGTACGCAGCGTGAATCTGTACTTGACACTGCCAGACAGAAAAAAGGAAAGGCTTAGTTTCTTAGTGTCTATAAAAAAAGTAACCTACGAGCAGAGTATTTTCCTTGGCTCAGTATGCGCGAGTCGCCTTTCCTTAGATTATAAAGCCTGAGCTTATATAACTAATAAGAAAATTTTAAACTTCTCGTAAGGTTTCTAAATTCGCTCCTGGGTCAATTTGTTCGCGTCTGCATTCGTTCGTCGTACACAGAGACATACGCACGTTCGTATCTTCGTTCTTTCGTTTATATACACAACCGTTCGTTTATATTATAATAGGTTCATTCCAATTGCGTTCTACCGTTTGAGCATTTTACCTCTGTGGTCAGTTACTTACATCATTAACAAGGTATCGAAGAAACTCAGTTTTATGTTTCTGAAGGTCTTTTGAGATTCCATCCCCAAAAGAAACCAGACCATACGGAAAATTGTGCTCCGCCAACCAAGACATGACTTTAATTTTCTGAAAATCAGGCCGACTTGTGACGTAAACGATTAGGAATCCTAACTCCTGCCAGTGTCTAGAAGGAGACAAAAATTTATTGATGAGAGAATAGCCAGGACGTAAGAAAGACTGGGTGGGGAGGGTGTGTAAAGCAACACTAACGAGAAAGGAAGGAAGCTCGGTGGCTTCCTGGGTCTCCTCGCCTTCTATAAATTATAGCAGCTGTAGATAAGTTTTTTTTAATTGTTAAAAAGTAAAAAAAAATGATGATGATCATGACGATGATGATTCTTCCACTGCGTCACACAACACTTAACTTACCTAACGACATCCACGGCGCCTGCGCGGACCTTTGGGTCTTTACCACGAATGGAGACGCTGGCCGCAAACGAGCCGTCGATACTGAAAACCACAGCCTCAGTCTTAGGCGGCAAAACGGCCACGTTACTGTCTACCCAGGTATGATCACCTCTGAAAGAAAAAAGGCAAGATTGAAAAAACACTTAAGTCTGGCACCTACGTTCAATCGATTGATGCCACTGAAGGATAGAGATGGGGAGTTTAGGATCGTTCAAGTCCACCAAAGAGAGATCATCTTCCTTGAACAACAAGCCCTTTCAAATTCTAAATCCGTTTCAAATTACGGTGAGAAGCGTTCTATAAGGTAATATAACATTCCTCTAGTATGATAGTTAGATACATTACGCTTAACCCTCTAAATATCAGAAGCCATTAAGATATACCTTCTCCTCACAATATCAAATCAATATCACTCCAATATCACACAACATATTTACAAGGAAATAGATAGAAACAAAAGGGGAGAATTTCTACTCTGATCTATAGAGTCAAAGGACCAGATCTACTAGGTTCCTAGTATGACCATAGACATTTCACACACCTGACGACCAACTTTACTGGGTAAATGCCAACCGGAAGTTTCTTCTCTTCAAGAATAGTACACGATAGCCTTCCTCCGCTTCCGGTAATCACGGTGTCGAATAAAACATACTCTCCCGAGGGAGGTTCGGTCATTACATAAATATCGACCTACAAAAGGGCAATGGAAACAAAGGATTAGCAAAAAATCATTACCACGAAGTGTGTAAGATCTTTTAGACACCTTCATGCATGGAACTCAAATTTTAGTCCCTGCTGATATGCAGTATTCAAGCAACTCTCTATCTATTGCTTCCAACTTGTCTAGATTTAAGGGTGTCCGCTGAATAATTTTCCAAGCTCTCCATGGATGGGACGGCGGATATAGTTTAAAAAAAATTTAGTTGCTCTTAACCACGTTATAACGGTTCCCTGCCCGATAGAAGACTTTTACCGATGTATACTCAACGAATTAGAGAGCAACCGCTAAAGAAATTGTATTACACGAGATTCGCCGAACATATCTCTCTTACTCATAACATACAATTTCCTAATTCTAAGGAGTGTCACACAACCAAAAGCGAAAGCAGTTACAAAAGCCAATCAAACAAAGGAAACATTACAACGAGCACATAGATATAGAAGCTAAGTACATGCAAATCTTAAGAACAGGACAACGTAAGTGCACAAGTCGCAAACGGCGTTAGTTTTACAACTGATTGGCCGAAGCGTGGCGTGAGTTTTAAAACCGTGACGTGCCGTGACATAGCACAACGTGACGTGACGTGAGTACTCAAAACCAATCACAGAGTGTATTGGAACCATCATGAAGAGTTCATTACCTTCTCACCGCTCAGAGATACCATATCTAGAGGTCCATACATGAACCTGGCCGTGAGAACCTGGTCAAGACCTTCAAGGGTTACCAAATCATTGGCTCTATGGTTGGCGTTCAGGTTCTGCCAAGGAATCAAAATAAATAATATGTACTTATAGACTGAGTTTATTCGAGCTGGACGGGAAAATATTTGGCTCGAGGTCATAACTACACTTGTCAGCTTTCACCATGGTTTTCTACGGGATTGCCCGCAGGGCCCTACGGGTCATATGATAGTAATCGTACTTCAATCACCAAAATTTTGTAATGGTCATGTTAACTACCGAAGATGCTTCGGGCTGCCATACAACAATTCGTTCTTGACGTTCACAGTTAAGTAAAACAACACTGTTTCAGGATAACCCTAACAAACTAAGACTTTCTAGCAACTTTTTTCATTTTGTGCATCTCCCCTTTGATTCTTCATTTTAAAAAGCTTTAAAATCGTCCAAAACGTTCCGCCGGTTCTTTTCCAAACGCGAAATTTGGATAACAGTGTGAAAGTAGACCACAGGTTGCAACGTAAATTTAGTAAAACTACAAAACTCTAGGTGTCACATGAACATGATGGAAAGCTAAGCACGTTTGAACCGGAAATTTCTTTTCAGAGGGAAAGATACCTTGATTTTTATGGCAGTTCTCCGTTTCAACCACTTCTCTCTGGGTTGGGAGGGACAAAACGTCTGACACTTTCTGCTGGGAGAAGACGCACTTGAAATGTCCCATTCCCCATGAAGAATCTAAACGAATGAAAAACGGATCTCAGAATTAAGATTCACCGGTCAACAAATCAAATACACACCGTAATGAATTTTCTGTGGAGGCTTTAGTGACCTAACCGCACCGTCAAGTCTGTGTAGCAAACTCTCCGGTAGAGGGTGAGGGCAAGGGTGCCAAGAGAATTTAAAAGCGACAAAACCAGTTTATACCTGTCTGACGACGAACGCAGCCACGTCATTAGACTCCCAATAACTGACATGGAAAAGAGGCGAGAGTACAGCTGTGGGAAACTGTTGAAGTCCCTCGGGACAATACAGCGCGTAGTCCACGCGCTTGATCCCCCACCAGTTTTGAACAGCTACAAAAGGAGATGGAAGACAGCATTAGAATGGACATTTGACACACAGTCATATTAGTGGAACGTGGTGAAGAAAAACCAATGCAATCCAAGATTAATTTATCCCTTTTCACCTTAATAATAATAAATTCCTACTCTTCGCACTGTTTTCTTTACATTTACTATGACACTGACAAAGAGAATCTGTTTGACACTCAGGAGCTTCTTAAACTATTCATCATTTCCTTTTTTGACATACCCATATCCAGATCTGCCCCTCCAGAACTGTCACTAGACACCAGACTTATCGTGCTCAAGTTGCTCTCTCGTTGAACCATGCCTGTAAAGGACCGGGAACTAGGGGTTAAAGGCGGTTGGGGAACAAACAACTCTGGGTAAGCACCGATGACGTTGCTGAGTACGTGTGATTGGCCATCACCCAGTGGGAATCGGTGATAACGAGGTACTTTGACGGCCGGAATTTGGGAAAACTGACTCACGATCAAAGGCTCGATTCGGGATGCTGATGGGTCAAACGGATGAAACAGGTTGTAAACCTGGTTACAAGCAGGTTTGGGCGGAAGAGCTAATAGCAAAAGGAAATAAAATCAGGATTAGAAAAAGTTTCAAGAGCTGTTCCAGGCCTCGCCCTTAGGGCAGAACACAAAGCAATGATTGACGTAGCTTCTTTCCCATCGGCGCATGCGCAACAAAATGTCCATGGCTTGGTTTCTAAATGATTACCTAGATTTTACCGGTCGCATCAGCTTTTGTGATAATTGGTATGATCAGCGCGATAATTTTCAAAACAGAGCCTTCCACTTTACACCCTAACATCGGTATGCATATTGTCCAAACTGTTCTCTATAAATCTCTTTACGTATACTGGGTACTGATCCCAAGAATAAGTTTAACAGTCAGGAGCTTCTGTAGTTGGCGATCACCGTCATTTCCTTTGTTCTCATGACCTTAATGCTGATTTATTTTGATACAGAAAGGAGAATTAGATACTGGCGATATAACCTCACTTTTGTCCGAACGATACAGGTCTTCCTTATCATCTCCGCCGTTTATGATCATTTGGCTCAGCATCCGTATATTCATCCCGATCGCTTAACGCATTTTTTTTGTCTCTTTAAACGGAAACCAGGTTTAAAAGCACCATGGTTTTGGGGCGAAAATTTGTGATGATAAATTCTTACCAAGACCTCCTCTGTCTTCCCCATTCAAGAACCTTCGATATGCTAACACAAGTCCAATGGGCGAACCAAACGCAAAAAATTTGCTAACTTCAAAATCGAACATCACGTTGTCCACTGACTCTACCGACAAGGACATAGTGTCGAAGCTAAACGTATGCTGTCTGGCCGCCCTGCTGAGAAGGCTAGGTGAGATTATAACGTTGTCTTCCATCTCATCCACTGGCGGAGCAGTAATCATCTCGTCTGTCTCGGGGTCAACATTTTCTCGAATGTTTCCGCTGCTCAGGCTCAGCCTAAGGTTGTGAGAATTCTCCAGACTGCTCTTGCAGGGAGGAGTGTGACTACTGATCCGCCGAGGTTTCCTCATCACACCGCCGTTTGAGTCTGCATTTTGCCTTGCAGCGAATGACGCAGCTTTCGGGGAAAGTGTCGACGTGTTTGTGATGAAACTCTGAGTGCGGCTATGCGTGGTGTTGACACCAGAGGTTAGGGCATCGTAAGCGAGAAGGGCTCCTATACAGTCGCCGAGGAGGCAAACCTGAAGCAGAAATACGAAAAAAGACACGAATTTAGGGAATTCAGTCAGGTAAACCTCTGTAAAATGAGTAAGACTCGCGTTTTAGCTGTTGAGTATGAAGCTACATGTAGGCTGCGTCTCCTTTTAACGTTCATTTCCTTAACTTATTCATGTTAAGTTTATCCTGGGAAATCTAAGAAGGAGTGTTTGTGACTCTCAGGAAATACCCCTACAAGAAACGCTGTGTAAGCCAACAACAAACGAAACCATTCGCTCGTGCGAAAGACGCAAAAAAGGAAACAACTCTGTGTGTCCCGCTGGCTAGTATAAAAGTATCATTTTTTTGGACTGACCTCTCCACGAAAGCCTTGGCCCTCGTCCGACTTCAAGAACTCTCTGTACACCATGTTTGTGGCAGCTACCATGGAGTTCACTGACTCGTCATAAAAAGGGGACGACGAAACCATCAGCGATATCGCACTGAGAGGAAAATTACTGGAGACTGGGGTGAAGCCACTGTTTACACTTGCCACATCTGAGAAAGTGAAAATCGTATGTATAAATATCTCACTCCATTGGTTACATCAAATAATACAACTAATTTTAAACGGAAAATTTTTAGATGGTTTATCCTTTACTGAAAGACTCAAGAAACTTCGGATTGGCTTTGAAAAATATTTCGGACGTCGTATTCCAGTTATGAATTTGTCCTTATTTACAGCCTGATCAAACTAACTCCTCCGATATTACGACCAAAGTTTCATGCATTGCAGTAGTCAGATTTTGCATTCCTAAGTGTACAAACCTTCATCGTGGGGTTTTGCTCTGCAAGTAAAAAACAACCACATTTTAAATTCTTACCCGAGTCACCTTCTGAATAGGGACACAGCTGAGACAACAGATTAAGAGCCTTGGAGCAAATGGCAGGGCACTCCACGAGTCTCAGTGCGATCCTTCCTTCCGCTCCTCTGTAGTGTGAGTTTATCACAGCCTCAAATGCATCCTGGAGTAGTTTAAAGTCCATTTCACGCGACGAAGGCTCCAGTCCAGTGTCTATTTGCGTGCCGCCGTTAATGACCAGAATGAGATTTGTGATGCGAGAGGCTGGTAACGAGCATGTCGAAGTATCACTAACTTTCTTGCAAAGTTTTTCTTTTCTGAAGAGCCGAGGTGACTAAAAGATAAGAGAAAACTAAGTTAAAATGATTCGCAAGAATTTGCGTTAGGAGCCTCTACTTAGAAAATCGATCAGTAACACATGCGTGCCATTCTTTTAAGTGTTCAAATAATCTTTAATTGCTTTGTTCCTGCATTACTTCCCTCTGTTATTATCTACGGAAACCCAGGCTGTCCTTTCCGCCAATCAGATGGACAAGCGACTGAAACCAATCTCTCCTTGGCAGTTTAGCGCGTTTTTCCTTGCTTGAGCCGGTCTCTAATGGTCTATGTCGATTCACCTGAAGTTCTCATTGGTTTGTTGTGATGTTGACCTTTTTTTTTATTAACTGTTGTGATTAATTTGATTTTTGCATTACTACATAGTTAGTCAGAGGTACTACGGCGCCGGACAGTCTTCTACCCACAGTCCTTTCTTAGACGTCTTTCAATAGCTGTATTTATTAATAGCGTTATTTTGATTCATAGTAATTGAACTAACACTCTTCACTAAAATCACCTTATCTGCGCTCTGTTCAGATGCCAGTGAGTCTAACGACTCTCTACTGCCCCGAGAAGAATCTGTGTCCAACTCCAAACTCTTGAAACTGTTACCCAGTTCCACGTTACGTATGGTCAGCAGATTCGAGCTAAAAGCATGCTCCTCAAATTCCTCTGCAATGTCGACGGACGAGAAAACAATCAAGTGAGTACGAGAATAACCACTTAAAGAATTCTTAGTGCTTTTTATTTTGTCAAATATGTTCACCTTAGACGATAAGAACCTTTTAAGTTCATATCGCAAAGCGGTAATTCTGTTACCAGAAGTACCTTTCCCATGAAAATTTGTTTGTCGAAACGTGTGCGTTCAAACAGGACGTATCAGGCTTTCACATACATTACATACATACTTTGTTTGTTAACGTAGGTCGAAAAGTAGCAGCTAAAAAAAAAGTGTCGTAGACCTAGCTATTAGCTATACAAACTTTTAAATTAAACCTAACTATTAAAAATGTTTTAGGAAATTTCCCCACAAAAATATACAAAATCAATCAATTGAACCTTTCTTATAAAAATGTTTACTGAAATATTTACAAAAACATAAACAAGATTGTTAATTAAACCTAGCTATTAAAACAATGTTTACAGAGTAAAAAGATATATATTACTTTATATTAAGAAGACTTTATATTACTTTAAAATACCACTAATAACTTTAAAATGGCCGAATTGACGAGAGGGTCATGTGAACGACTCCCCTCTATTCATAACAACCAATCCACAATATCGAAAGATTTGTACAAAAGGATGTAACCCTCAAAAAAACTTAGAGAAACTTAGAGTTAACACGCTCAAAAAATGGTAGCTACATCAAGTGTAATATTTCTATTTGAAGCCTCTCGTGACCTTGAGACAAACAAAATGCGAATTTTATCGTAAATTATCGACATTAATAATCTATTAATATTCCATTAATTGCATTAATATGTCATTAATATCTTCAAGAAGGTTTTAGGGGTTTAGAATCTTTAACAGGGTATAATAAAATGTCAATATTAAGCTTCTTGAAGAGTGTCCATCTGGACTGGAAACTTTCAAGTGGGTTTTAACTTGGTACGTGCTCTACATGAATGCTACGGACAATTTTTTTGCATACAGTTTTCCATAAAGCATACTAAGTATATGGGAGGTGGATCTAGGAGGCTCCTATGTCATAATTTGCACTTATTTCTTCTAAAATTGGGTAAAAAACGAACGGATTTCGTAGGATTAAAATTTACCGGTGGCCCCTCGTCATCAAAACTTCCCGGAGAGCCCCCGCCCACACCTTTCCCTATGAAAAAAGGTTTAGCAGAGAGGAAAAATTAAACTCACCTTGAGCGTCGAAAAATTCATCATCTGCTGAATCCGAATCATTGGCTTCAATTGTACTCATATGCCAACCTTTTAACATATCTGTACGTGACAATCGTTTCTCAGCGTTAGAACTCATTAGGTCTGTCTGAGCTAAGCCATTGCATTCCACACCGTTCGAGTTCCTTGCGTTATCTTCGTTATCAAATCCGAATTTTTCCACTGTGATTGCGACGGGTGAAGGAGAGATAGTGCTCTCGTTTTCGTCGAGCGAAGCTTTAGAAATTAGTTCTAACCTGGAGGCACTATTGCTTTCTTGGACATAAACAACACTGCCTCGGCCTTTGTCGTTTGCAAAGCCCACCTCCTGGTCGCTGTCTCTATCAGAAGCAGTGTTAGATATACCATGATCGGACAATCTACACATTTTTATGGCTAACACCCTTTGTGTTTCTTCTTCTAACTTTCTTATATCCTCGATTGTCAGTCCAAACCACTCGTCTTGCCACACCCAAGCTTGTCTGTGCCCCATTAGCATCGGGCGACGCAGACTCGAGTGAATAAAATGTTCGATTTTATTCTGAAAACAAAAACCGAATGGATAACATGTCAATTGACTATAAACAATTACGTATTTCCAAAACTTTGAGGTAGAGCACCTTTTTTGCCGACTTCAAATTTAAGTACTCACGTTTACTCAAAGTTTTTTTACAATTAAACAATCGTCGTAGTCAAAGACTATTTCAAGCAACTAGAAGCAAGAATGAAATCAGCCATGCTTAGCCTCGCGCAAAATTTCCCATGTTTGGCACAGGGTGAACTTTTCCCCGAGAAAAGTCCTGATTGATAGTTCCCTTGCAACCGGGCTTCAGCTTTGTCACAAACAAGCTCTTTCCCCCGTTGTCTTGTTGGAAGATAATGTATTGCGTGAGGAGCCCAACGAAAGATTAAGAGAGAGACTATTCTGATTGGTTGATTTTCTTATTGGTAATCCAGTGGATATGATTGTTTTAAGTAAAAAAAAAAGGCAAAAATAATATATCCTTTCTGTAGAAAGGGGATTCTTTTTAACAAGTACAGGCAATTACCTTTGTCCACCACAATCTAAAAGCTACGTAGAACGTTTTAAGTAAAAAAAGACAAATTTAAAACACCCTCTAAAAGCTACAAAGCATAGAAATCCTTCTTTAACAACATTTACCTGCATTCCCCAGTATCTAAACTCAACCTTTATTAGCTTGTATGCACACATCACATCAGATGGAGGCTTGTCAACTCTGTACTGCTCCAGCCAGTTCTCCTTCATAGGGCCCCGCCCTGTTTTGGTAGATTGATACAACAAAGGATCCTCTTCTTCAGAGTAGTCTGAGGAGGACACTTGATCCTTAATTGGATCAATTATATCTGTAAGACAATTTTCACAAAAGTAAATTTGCTGGTGAGAAAACAGGAATAAGGAGCAGAAATATCTTGGTCAATACCATTTGGAAGAGAAAGAATTTGATTTCCTGAAGCTAAAGCAACAAAATTCCATATTGATTGCCATACATTCAGCAGCTTCAAATTACCTGTAGATGCAAGCTTTCTTACAAATCCACACAACAGTCACATTCTAGAAAACACAAACTTCAATGTTGTAGATAAAGACACTGACCTACTTCCCTTCCCTGTAAGTCCACTGGTGATAAATTAAATACATTTTCCTGAAAGAAATTGTACACCACAATAAGAAAATACCAGTTTTTTTTGGAAGACTGTTTAGAATTCAAACTCAAAGCACTCCATTCAGTAGTAATCAATAAAGATTGGTGTTTTGTCTCTGGTGTAGACAAGTGACAAGAAAAAATAAGATGATTCACCAGCAAATTTTTATAGAATAGACAAAATGCTGGTATCAAAGCTAAAATAAACTATGCAGAAATATGGAATCAATATCAGTATCTGAGCAACTGCACACCTACCCCTCTCCTAACTCAACATTAACCTTAATTTGACTGTCAACTGTTGTTGGGTTTAGAGTGGGTTGGTGCAAAATCACTCAGATACTGACAATGATCCACAATATGTACCTGCTGTCCAGCATCAGGGTAATAATATGTTTCTACATCGACAAAAAACTTCTCTACAAAGGGACATGTTGTCCTCATCTTGGTATATGGATAGGCATTCCATGCCTCTTCTTCAACTCTTAAAGCTGCCTTTGGCAGAATTGCTTTCAGCCAGCTGGGCAAATGGTTTCCAATGTGATAGATTTTTTTTGTGTATTGTCCATTTCCTCCAGGGCCATTTGTGTAAGGAGTATTTTCAAGAATCTCCACTCCGCTGCCTTCACCAACACTATCCAGCCGACTCTTTTTCTAACAGGAACAACAGAAGAAGTCGATAAAAACTAATTTGACTCACTTTGCATTAACTTTTTATTTAAATAAGGTAATTGATAGAGTGAAATTAATTACATGTATCTAAATGTTTCAGCTTAAATTAAATTTCCATTCAAATCCATTTCAAACCAGGTTCATTTGTATTTTCCTCTATCCAGATCAAAATATATATTACATATACATTAAGACAGCCCTTTAAAACAAAGAAAATTCAAATCAAACTAATAATTGTACCTCGAAAACATCTTACCCTGAAAACCATATTAAACTTTGACAAATAAAATATTATGTATGTATATAGTTTCTACATCAATCAAAAGAAGATTACAACAGGTGATGATTTTAATGCACAGGTGTACACACTGAATTGGAATTTTTTTTCAAGTTAAGCCACCTACTATTTACAATTATAGTTCTATGAATTAAAACAGCATTGAAAAACATGTCTCTTCAAAAAGAGTTTTAAAATATTGTGCTACAAAAGAATAAACATTTTATAATAACTGACTGTTGATAAAAACAAGGACTGTCACAGGTTAATTACTGAAAGATGCTCATAGAATTAACATGACAAAGATAATAAACCTAAGTTTTCTTTGAATCATATAAACTTTCAAAATGCATGTATTACAGATAGAGTGGAATGGGCGCAATCTCAATCAAAACACTCAAACAAAATGTGTTGTGGAGCTGTCTGGTGCACAATCTTTCATCAAGTTGTTATCAGGAGAAGTGGGGAGACATAGAAGCTCTACCCCTCCCCCCCTTCACCCACCAAACAATTACATTCCTCCTTTCTGTTCATCTCTAACCATATTTACATGTGCATCCCACATTCAAACTTTCTTTAATTCCTACATCCCAGAAGTGTAAAAAGGGTAACAGAGTACCTAACATTCCACCAACCCTATGCTAGGACTTACTGCAGATGTCAATTTCTGTCCACCTCGAAACACTCTACATCACACATTCAAACTTTCTTTAATTCCCACATCCCAGCAGTGGAAAAGGCTTACAGTGTACTTAACATTCCATCAACCCTATGCTAAGCCATCTTGTGACTCATATTGGTACCTCTTGCACTTACTGCAGGTGTCAATTTTTGCCCACCACTAAGCACACTTCATCCCACCTTCAAAGCAGTTAAAAAAAAAGCTTACAAAACATTCCACCAACCCTGTGTTATTTCTTTCATTCTACAAACCACAAGTGATAAAAAAAAGTCTCATTGTGCATTGCTGCCAACCCTATCAACACTTTCATTTGAATTGTAATCAAAAGTGTTAATTGTGAATTCTTATTGGAGGATCGAATATTTATTTTAAATTATATCCAAAATTGAAGCAAATGATTTCAATTCCAAATAATTAAGAATAACTGGACATAGTTGAGAAAAATATTACTATTTTGTGATTTGACAGTGCTAAGCTGATGCTTTTAAGTTGGGGCAAGTTCATTTTTCAGAACTATCATCCTGAAAATCCTTCCTAATAGGTTAGAGAAAGCATTTGACATTTTCTACTGACAAGTATGCAATTGGATGCAGTGAGCAGATCTTTATTTGTACGCTGTTATTTGTAAGTCACATGGTCAACTTTTGGCCAATGTAAAGGAGAGGTAACAGGGCATCAAATTATAAATTTAATTTGTCTAATGATGGAGTATTGGGTGATTGTGATTCTCCTACACTGCTAACCATCATCTGATGAAGAGTTCTTTATGGAGCTATCATAGACTTTGTCACCAAGATCTTTCTTATAAAATCTTTCAAACAATGATGAGCAATTATTACTGTGATCTCTTGAGAAAACCAAAATGTTAACTCAGAATTAAAAAATGAAGCATGTACATGAAAAGAGGATACTTTATAGGAATTTTTTTTTGGATAATCAAAACAATTCTCGTATAGATTGAAATGCAACAACAGAAAAAAATTGAAAGATAAAAATTACAAAATGTAATGATAACAATCCCCTCAAATGAACATAAATAATACAGTATCTATGATCACAGTGATGTAATCAACACCTTAGTACATCAAATTGAAGATAACCATTCATTGACTTAAAGCTGGTGAAAGAATAATCCTTCATTGACCTTAAAAGTATACTGAGCCTTGAAATGACTTTTAACTCATGGATTCTTTTAAAATGGGTTTGACCCTTTACAATTTTTTTAAAGACTTTTTAGCAGATTTCTTTAGTTTGGAGGTAGTATTTCTTTTGTTAGTGCTTCCTATCACCTGGTCCTAACAGTGTTCTCCAGAGGCAGCAGTGGCCAGTGTTCTTGCCAGCTATTTGTTTCTGAGATGCTGATGATACAATTTAGCCCAAACAGTAAAATGCCTGTCTTGATCTGGCCTAAATTCAAACCTCTGCTGGCTGGTGCTTTCTTATCCCTAGGTACAAAATTCCCTCAAGCCAACTTATGCTGATGTTGCAGAAACAACCGTTTATAAGATCTAAGAAAAATGTGCTCTCAAATGGAATCAAGTAAAAGTCTTCAATGTGTTACAGTTCAACCAAATATTTTTAAGAAATGAACTGCTAAATTAGTCATTATTGAAGAGGTAACCATCTCTGTCCAGTCATGAAACAAAGAACAAACAATACTCAATTATCCCCGTCAATAATTAAAATTACTGAGATACTTAATGACTATGAATTACAAAATATTAATCCCCCAAAAAATTAACCTAAGAGACAACTAGAACTTCGACTTGGCATTTACAACTGATATTGAAGTCAATATAAATGGAATGAATCTATTCATTTACCTACTGACATTTATATAAATTATGGACCAACTTAAGTAGAAGACAGTGTTATATTTACATTCTGCAGAATTTTCTGTTCTATGGTTGAGTGGAGCTTATCAAATATTTTAATTTAGCTAAGAGGCACATCTCAGCAATTGGTGAAAATATTTTGTTTATGATAGCAAGTACAAATTTTTTAACCAAAACAGCTGAGATTATCAAAATGCTAATACTGGCCTGTGTCCAAAAGCATTCATATTCATTCAGACCGGAAAAACAAAATGTTTAAAACCACAAAACAGCTGAATTCCATCATTTGGGTATCCAATGTGCCCAAGTAATTTTTTTGAATAAAAATTGTAAAAAAGGGAAATTAGTGGCTTTTGAAGGAAGAAATAATGGATGTCCTTATTAAAGGTTTTTGAGATAAAATACCAGAAAGTGTTGAATACAATATCATGTTGAACCTAAATCTGCCCCAAGGGATTTTATGGAGCCAAAAAATAATTTGAAAAGGCTATGACAAAGGTAATGAAATCGACACCCGTTTGATCAAAGCCACAGTTCGAATTTTCGTTCCCCAGATTTAATCTCCGCAGTGATGTTACAAGTTAAGCTCTCTGACTCGCATCTAACGGTTTTAATAGTTTCTGTGTGGAGAACAGAGAGGCTGTTCGGAATTCAAAGAAGACGGAAAATTTGACATGAAGATCGGACATGTGAGAGCGCCCACGCCAATGTGTCAACTTCACAGACGACTTGACATGCAAATATGTGCAAATGTGCATTTCACTTCGATTTCACTCACTCTCACGATGTCGACAAACATACGAGCATCAAAAAGATTATAACGAGAAATATAACATACAGATACCTCAGTTGACTTTTGATCGCACTTTTTTCGTGAAACGGACAAATTATTCGTCAAAATCATGATTGTATGTTCTTGTTTTTCCAAGAAATGATTCGATCCAGTTAGCTCCGAGCTATGTCAACAATGTCACGAGAGAGAAAGCGAGAAAAAATTCGTGGACACCACAACAAAAAGTTACTATCTAAACCACAATAGACTTTGCATAATTTGTCGCCTATTCTAAGCCAAGAAGATTCACTACCGAGGCAATCGAAACAGTCAAAACACAATATCTGTCTAAGGTATAAATATATCGTCAGGAAAAAAAAAATCGGCCGTCCGCCGGTTTGGTAACTGAAAGCTTGTTTACAAGGCTCAGGCTGTGTTCGAGGTACATAACTTTGACATGTACATATACAAACACTGAAACAAACAGTATGCGAAATCGTCTAGAGTTTGCAGTCGCGATCCAACTCCTTCGAACGTGTAGGACAGTTGGAAAACATAGTTCGGAACAAAAGAACCATACCTGGATCATATACAACTGAGCTATCCTATACTCTTCCACGCTCATCGGCAGAGGAATTCTGTATTCTTTGATCAACATTATTATTCGTACCAGGGCAACGAAGATTCGAAGCGATGTTGATCGACGCGAGAAATTCTCGATGGCCTGTTTCAATCGAAGGCCAGAAACGTTAGTTTCACATAAAAGCGAAATGTCCAAGAGTCGAACAGCTTGCAAGCTGTCCGCTGAAAATAAACACAACTCATACTCCGCCGGCCGGAAGCCATCTTGAATGACGTCACGTAGTATCGGAACAGATGGCGAGCCTCACTTTCAGATTATAGAAAATTTATGAAACAGATCCCAAACTGGTTGTCCCGTTATACGTCAAAAATGACGTCGAGACACGCTATGATCAAAAATGCGGTTGAAAATCCACAAGCGATTGTGTCAGAGTTGGTCTTACGTATTATACAATTCAAGAATTAACGAGTTATTACGCGGTACTCTTTGATTGATGGTTGTCATTACAGAGCAAAGAAACACGGATGAGTCATGATTTTTTTTTTCCCTAGTTTTTCCAACCTACCAATTTTCTGTGAATTTCCGATTGGAGCATATGAAGCCTTAGAGATTCAAAAAACAGGTAGAGAAATGAAAGGGCGGAAGCTTTTTATTAGCAGGAAAAGAAGATGGAAGAAAAAACCGAGAAGGGAAGTGCTCTCGGAATCTTGGAAATGGACAAAACCAGGTGCCCATTCTAAATTGGGAACATGATCTTTCAACTCTGGAGCGCTTACGAGGCATATTAATATTTTCCGTTATTTTTAAACTTATAAAAAAAACTGCTAAAAAAACATTCTTGACGTGTGTCTATTCAACAAATGTTGCCATGGGTGCTTCACAGGTAGCATCAAGATTCTGTGAGAACAAAAGAAGGTGGCACGCGAGGCGTAACCGAATGCGTAACCAATCAATGCGTATGTCCTCCAGAGAACTAATCAAAGTGAACGTCTAAATCAAATTACAAATGACGTCAAATAACGTAAGGATAATCTGTTATTAACTACCCTGTGGCTCTTCATTGTTCTTACAACATTTTTTCCATTCCCCCTGTATCCAACGTCCCCTTCAGAGAGATCTAGTGTACAAATCGATTCTATGTGGCCGTGCATCTGTTGAATAAAGATCGCAGATGACGTCACGATATGGCGAGAACGAAAAAATACGTGACACGAGGTACAGCCGTCAGTATGTCACTAATGTGCTTACTACAATTTAACATCTTCTGTGATATAACATGCTTCAGAATATAATTTTGGAACTGACAGCGTTGTCACATGTGACTGTTGTGTGACCCAATTACCCTACTAAGTAGCCAGGCCTCTAGCTTCTGGTTTCAAAATGGCTGGGCTTTGCAAGACTCTTACCTCGGTTCTCTTCGAATACGACACGTCTAAAGTGGTTCACATTCAAAGTAAGACAATTGGAATCATCAACAGACTTATTCAACTCAGTATAATATGTTACGTCATCATGTAAGTGGCTGGTGAGATTTTTCTACAATTATACCTCGAGGTACTAACACACACTTGAAGTAAAGACATGTAGAAGTTTAATCGTTTTTCTACCCCTGTAATTTTGCACCTATTTGTTCTTGTACTCAGCTGTTCTCTTATCAAGATTAACAGTGCTTAGTATTGGTCTGGGGTATAATTAACTGTACACGATTATTCATTTTCATAAATGGTTATTTTATTGAACCTTTCGCGTAAATTTTGGTTCGCATGTTAGCTAGGGGAAAACCGGAAACTAATGGATGAAACTGATTGCAAGAAAAACTACATCTGTTACTCTGTCTAAGTCCGTACTAATCGACGGACTTTACATGTAGCTTCATTTTTTAATCAAAATGGAATCTGTTTAACAAACAGTGTTTAAGTGGCTTAAACACAAAGCTATTGGAGCTGATTTCTACTGTGTCTTCTGATCTGCAGAGCAAACATTTTTCTTACAGCCTCTCAGCTGTTTACGGTGCTGATCTTTCGTTTTCATCAAACGAATTCATTAGCTTAGTGACCTGCCAAATGTTGTTTTCCCGCGCTGTCTTGTTTGTTACGCGTGATCCTTCGAAGCTCTTCGGTGTTTCGAAATATGGTAAAATACTTCTCTAGTAAATCGAAGTGCCCGTGTATGCTCAAATCGTGGTGATATAAATGTTGTGGTTCAATTTTATCCTTGGTTCAAATTTTCTTTTCCTTTGTTTCAAACTCATTATCATACATTACAATACCCAAAAAAAAAGAATGTAAAATTTGAACCAAGGATAAAATTGAACCACAACATAAACAAGTGCTAATAAATTGCACAGCACACGGTTACATTTTGCTCTGCAGTTTCTTTTTAACCCCCTTTGATTCCTGGGTGCAACAGCCAATCAATATGAGGCCCACTATGAGCCAAAAAGACCTCTAATCAAAGCTACAACAAAATTCTCGAATGTGATTGGGTATAACCAACTCAGTTTGAGGACTGATAGGACAGTAAATGCATCATGCTTGTAACTGGACAGTGTAATAGGACAGTTAACACATCATGCTTTTATAAGTGGACACATCATGAGCTAGTGCATTTCACCGAGTTAACTGTTATTGACCGAGCATTGACCTTACAATGTCAATGCTAGTGATGAGAACAAAGAAAAATAGCAATTGGGGGATTTTTAGTTGATCCATTGTCAAATTCTCCAAACTAACATCATGAGAATTGCATGGCAGAAAATAAGGAGAATTACTGATGAGATCTTGAGAGTGAAAGGGTTAAAACTGTTTTGGTATATTATGTCTTGAAACCATTTACTTTCAATGTTTCAGCTATGTTATAATCTATGAGAAAGGATACCAAGACACACAGAAACCTTACAGTTCTGTTACTACAAAAGTTAAAGGAGTATCGTCAACAAACTTGACACCTGAGTTGAATGATAGTTTTCCATTATACAATGGAATTCATGTGTGGGATTCAGCAGATTACATTGTTCCACCTGAGGTACAATTTAATTTGGATTTTCTTTGTTATTTTTGTCTTTCGTGGTTTTCTATTCCTGTTTTATTTCTCTGAAATAATGTTTGTTATATTTAACATCTTTTGTCAGCTCTTGACTCAGAGTTTTTCTCTGAAATCTCCCAAGAAGTAGCTGTCTAATTAAACTTATCAATACATTTATATCAGCACTACGATAAACATACTTTATTTGGTGATTTGACAAAGCCTCACTCAGCCAGCCCAGAAAATGTTGTTTGAAATTTTATAAAGCTACAGACATTGGGTGGTTGGGATACATGATATCATTGGAGAATAAGAACCACTATAGCCCTAAAGCTAGGGCACTGGACTCTGGGCAGTAAGGACCTAGTTTTAAAAGGTGCCTCTCTCCACCCAGAAATATAAAAGTGTACTGTTGAACTGTGAGGGGAATCAGACAAAATGCTGATGCATAACTGGTAATCAACCAGTATCCCATCATGAGGGGAGGGGGGGAACAGTGATACTCCTGGCCACTTAATACTATAGAAATCAGGATGCACTCTGGTTGGATGGGCCAGTTGGCTCCAGTACAGACTGAACTTTTTTGTTTTATATCCTTGAAGCTAGAGGATAGAAGGCCCAATTTCTCTTGCCCAACTTTGTATTATTTTTGAATGATATAAAGTAATTGCAGTGTCTTTTGGAATTCGTTAGTCCGCTATTCTGTCATTCTGGCAAGAAGGAAGTACATACCAGCACAATGTAAAGCCTGCAGTGAAAACATGTACTGTACATGAAAATGGTCTTCTACTACTCTATTTTTATAACCCTAATCATTTTAAATTTGATCTATGTGGTTGAAATTTATTCTCTCCTTAAAACTTTTCTGTTTGATTTTTGGCATCTTTTCACATCCATCATGACAATCTGAAACAAAAAAAAATTAAAAGGCAGACTAGTTTGGCAAATTTTAAACCAAGAACACTTTAAAACCACAACAAAATAATGTAAAATTTTCAGTGAGAGACACTGATCTTATTTTACAGGAAAACGGTGCTTTCTTTGTGATGACAAACATGATCATCACTCCAGATCAGTCACAGGGTGCTTGCCCAGAAGATCCTAACCTTACAGATGTGAAATGTTATAATGACAGTGACTGTGAAGCTATGGAACCCACCCACTATGGACATGGTGAGTTTTTTCTATGCTATCTCAGATAGCTGTGTTCTCTGTTATTTTCCATGTATGTTTTTTTTCTAATATGAACACTACAGAAAATTACAGTAATTAACTTACCGTCAGAAGAATGGGCATGTCCACACAGTGATTATTCAATTAGGTTTTTATCTTATTTGTTACTATTTTAGGAATTTTTAAAGCTAAGGATAAATGTCACACCACCTTCAAAGTTAACATGCTGACACTGAATGTATTCAGAATCACAAATAATCTTTCATTTTCCATTGTTCACTTGTCAGGAATCAAGACTGGGCGATGTGTAAAAGCAGACAGAGGTGATAAACCTCATTTGAAAGTGTGTGAGATCTATGCCTGGTGTCCTGTGGAAATAGATGAATTACCTATGCAACACTTCAACCTCAGGTTAGCTACTGTGGCAGTTATATGATTGACACATTTTTGTATAACAGTTAAACACAGTGGACTATCTTCTTCAACCTCGGGTAAATGACTATGGCAGTCATATCATTGACACATTTTTAAATATCAATCAAGTACAGTGAACTCTTTCTGAATGGAACTAAGAGTCTATGCTTGAAGATGTCTATCATAAGAAAACTTACGCAGTAAGAAAATGACTTAAGAATGCAGATGGCTCAGATCATCTCCAAGACAGTTTCATTGGGGTAACTTCAATTTGGTGTTGAAAGCAATTTGTGAGTGAGGTGGTTTTTGCTCAGCTCTTGGACCCCCAAGAGTGACTAGCATCTAGTTTCTCCTTAGGTGAAATATCACCACTGAATCACACATTAATGTCAAGAGGATAAAGGAAAGGATTAACGACTAATTGTATAAAGGGCTTATTCTGTATGGGAGCCAGAGGGCTAAAGTTTAGCCCCCAGAACCCTGAAACAAAAGATCTGAGTTGGGGGCATTGAAATACTTCAGCTTTTAAGCAATTTTTGTCTTTTCTGTTTACTGATTGTAATTCTGCATGTTTTTCTCGTTATAGCCCAGGAGTTCCACTTTTGGAAACCGAGAACTTCACGGTTTTGATAAAAAATAGTATTCAGTTTCCAAAATTTAATAAATCAAGGTAAGTGCAGTTGGCCATAGGCAAGATTGTCTCATAAGCAGCTCAACCATGTGCCCCATTTTATTTTTATTCATGCCATATGTCCCTATAAACACCTCTGAATGGATGAATCCAGTAGCAGGTGTATATTCTGGTCTTGTTCTTTTTTTACTTAACAGACGAAACATTCCATCAGATCGTGATCCATCATATCTGAAGAAGTGCACCTATGACCCTGTTAAAGATCCCTACTGCCCTATAATCAAACTAGGAACCATTGTCAAAGAGGCTGGAGAAGACTACAAGACTCTAGCTTATAGGGTAAATTTTTTCAGGATCGTCATCATCATCATCATTGCTTTTCATACTGATAGGCTAAATAAGTTGCTCTAACCCCCTTTCCCAGGCCTTCCTGTCTTTTACTGCTTTTTATGCATGTCACCCTACATATCTCCTCTCTGCATATATATATATATATATATATATATATATATCCTCTATATTGAGTTTGTTTTCAGTCTTCCTACTGCGAGACACAAAAATCTCCACAATAGATATTAATTTTAGACACTGTTGCCAGATTTTAGACACAATTGTCTGAATTTAGGCACAAGTGTTCAGTTTTAGACTCTTTTGTCTAATTTTAGGTACAGTTGTCTGATATTGAACACTAATATCAGATTTTGGATGTCAGTGTCAGATTTTGGACACTAACATGTAGTGTCTAATGTTAAACAAAAGTGGCAGATTTTAAACAGTACTGTCACATTTTAGACACTATTGTTGGATTTTAGACACTAGTGTCCAATTTTAGACACAAGCATCTGATGTTAGACACCAGTGTCCAAATTTAGGCATAAGTGTTTGATTTAAGACTCCAGTTTCTGATTTCAGAATCTGGTGTCAAATTTTAGACTCTAGTTTCCAACTTCAGACGTTGTTGTCCAATTTCGGATGCAAGTGTCCAATTTTAGACACAAGTGTTCAATTTTAGACTTTGGTGTCTAATTTTAGATACTGATGTTTGATTTTAGACACTTGTGTCTGATTTTAGACACTTGTGTCTGATTTTAGACACAAGTGTCCAATGTTAGACACAAGTGTCCGATTTTAGACACTAGTGTCTGATTTTAGGTACTAGTGCTTGATTTTAGACAATAGTGTCTAATTTTATTATGGTGTCCAATTTTAGACATTCGTGTCCATGTTTTGACACAAAATTAGGGCAGTTAAAATTTTACTGACATGTTCAACTCTGTCTCTGTCTTCAGGGAGGTGTTATGGGCATTATTATCAACTGGGACTGTGACTTTGATCCTTTAACTTATTCTTGTGAGCCAAAATATACCTTTAGGAGGTAAAGAAGACACTGTTTTAGATAATGTTTTATAATGCAGTTAAATGCAATTTAACAGAGTTAACAAGAAAGAGCATTAGTGTTCTCTGATAGTCAGGGGTTTTTGCATATGCCCATGCGTCAGTATTCCACGCGCTCTTTGTTTGAGGCATTCTTGCGTGTGCTTTGAGAAAAAAATATTAATTATGGGATTACCAATTGATCCAATGCCAAATTCTCCAAACAAACATGATGAGAATTATTTGGCAGACAGTAAGGAGAATTGGTAGTTAAAGGGTTAAGCTTATGATTGGTTCTCTCTCTTTTTCATCATTATTCCCCTTTATCTTTTCCTAGACTAGATGATGTAGAGGCACCAATTGCACCAGGATATAACTTCAGGTAATTGTCAATAAGATGTTTTTAGTCCACTTTCTCTCCTCAGATTATGAGTTGTAATAATTTGCAGTGAACAGCAGGTTCATAGGCAAAAACATTTAGAACAGGGTTACACTCTAATTCATTATTGGAATTTGGTAGGCATGGCAACTTCTCTTTTATCATTACTGTCACATTTCCTTGAGAGGGGGTCACAAACAATTGAGGCTCTCTTGGTTCCCCTTCCCTTATGTAAACTCTTTCACTGTTAAATTTTTGGTAAAAAAGACGAGTTATTGGACACTTCTTATAAAATGAACAATGTGCTGTAGATTTAGTGGTATCAGGTGAAAGATTGTCTCCTAAATGACACATTGATTATTCTTTTCAAACCAGGTTTGCCAGATATTATGACAAAGATGGAAAACTACACAGAACACTGTTCAAAGCTTATGGCATCCGCTATGTAGTATTGGTCTATGGTCAGGTAAGTTACCACATGTATGCAATAGATATACCAACCCCTTTTTGTTTTGCATTTGGCAACAATATACTGGTTTCCCTAGACTTAAAAGTAACTGCATGCTTTAGTTGTGACTTCTGATTATTCAATGATTGTGAAATAATTACATTTGTAATAACTGGTGCTTTTTATTGTGCTCTGATTTTAGTAAATACTAAGTAAATAAAAAAAACTTTTGTTTCTTCTAGGGTGGTCAGTTCAGTGTTGTCCCTTTGTTTCTGAATTTGGGTTCTGGTCTTGCCCTTCTGGGAATTGTAAGTTAACAAGCTTGGGTAATTTTGCAGTTGTTAGAAGCTGAAATGTATTTTTTTCTTTTTCCCTTTTCTATTGACTTAAAATAGCGACACAGTGCCAAGGAAGGAGTAGTTATGAATGAGATCTGGATGATAGACATAGATCTCTTCATGGAATCTTTGTGGATTTTCTTTGTAGTAATTCATATGATTTATATGCAACTGGGTTTTCTTACACTCCATAACTGACCTGATTATGGAGGTTGATTGACGAGGACAGTTCATTATGTGTATTAATCGGAGAATGAATCTTACATGAATTGTTTGCCAATATCTTGTTATGACTTATGGCGACTGTATCCTGTGATAACCCATTTTACCTATTGGAATTGCTGTTGCTTTCTTACAGGCGACAGTGTTGTGTGATATTGTTGTTCTCTACTTTGTGAAACGAAAGACATACTACAGGTCGAAAAAATACCAAGTTGTGAATGATCCAGATGATGACGATGAGGTAAATAAGAAAATCTCTCTTATCAACCTACCTTATGCGCCTACTCTGTGTTTAGAAGTGTTGCCAATACAAGTATGCGCCGCTAAGTATCAGTAAGTTCGTATACTTAAATTGCCTAGAGTGGTTTTCTATCAGATTGCTTCAGTTAAACTAATCATAGTATAGCACAACCCATCATAGCAAGGTTTACGTTGTTGACACTGTGTTTAGCTTTGTAAGATTGTTTTACTTTCTATCAAAGATTGTGGATTATGGTTAATGTATTTCACCTGGTCTTCTTTGCAGAGAGGACATTTGCTTTATACTGACGAAAAGAAATAGCGAGAGGAGGGTGTGTTAGGATATTCTAATTATAGACTTCATTTCGTATTTTACACGAGGCAGCTTTAGCCTATCTCTAGATCCAACTTCAGTCAAAAAGCCTTGTTCAATGAAATGGATCAATCTAGTTCTCCTATCTTGGAGGGGGGGGGGTCCAAACTTTGAAATTTAGACTTTTTATAGCGACTCTCTTAGTATCAAAAAGAAACTTAAGAGAGTGTGAATGGTATTATCACATGCATCACCATGAAGGCCCTTAGTTGTCCTAGAGTATTTATTAAACAAGAAGTAAAAATTCTTCCCTCCATTGAAGGCTCATCAAATTTGGCGAGAGGTATTTGAAACTTAAGTTTGTCCGAAGCATGTTTTTTTCAAGAAAAAAAAAAAACAAAGAAATCAAAGGGAAGGAAGTAAACTAATTATAGTTATAAGTAAATCAATACAGACTGTATTAGAGATATCTTAGAATAAAGTTTTGCTAGGTGTTACCAAATGGTTTGCCTTTTTATGATTGAAAATTATTGCTCACGATATTTTTAGATCTTTTGGATTTGTTACTAAGGAATCTAACTGGCGTTAAGACTCCCGTCGACCCTTATCTTTTTGTTCGTTATGGGTACCTGACAATATTTTCGTCTCTTTTTGTATACTGGAGGTACTTTTTTAAAAGAGCTTTCTGAAAGGAAAATTCAATTAACATAAAATATCAAATGAAGCAACGATCTCCACCGGATCACCAGCAATTTGAGCAATTACAGAAATAGGCCTGTAAAAAACTCATGCATCAACCTTATTCGTACCCATGCCCCTCAGATACTAGTTGAGCGCCACTACCAAGTGAGTTACGAAGCGACACCTTAAAGGCAGGGGACATTTCAAAGGGTTTTACTTTCCCGTGTAGGATCTTGAATGTGGGAAGTTAAGGAAGTAGGCAACAAGTCGCAAATATAGCTTTCAATTAGAAGATGTCGACAACTTTTCGAAGCCTTGAAATTCCTAAGCAGTATAGCGGGTAAACTCAAGAAGAAGTTCTCATATGTCTCCTCAACGATTGATAAGTACGACAAACCCCCTTAGATTTAGACATTAGACACACCCATAAAAACGCTTCCGAGATTTGTTCGAGCTTCCGTTACAACAGTACAGTTTGTTATGTTTAAGATGACGTTGGTTTTGAAATCTGTCAAAATTTCAAAAGAGAGAACGCGTTAAAAAATTATTCCGTTTTCTGCAGAGAATTAAATATGCAGTGCTAGCTTTTCCACGATCACAAGAGGTCCAGGATGGACTACCAACTGATCTGAATTGCAAAATATTTCCTCGTTATTATTCATGATTTTCTCTCACTTGCACGTGTTACTGAGATGTTACTCGGGTGTGGAAAGTTCTGTGGCCGTTTAAGTTTTCTTACTTTGGTTTACAAGTTTCAGAATTAATGAAAACTTTTCTGAGGACACAAAGGCTTCCATAATGGCCACGCAATATGCTACCAAAGGCAACTTCGGCGAAAGGTCGCAAATTGTACAACGGCATCGGAACATGATGCCGCACAAGATGACAACCAAAATGGCGGACTTGTGATTCCTTGCCTTTCAAGGTAACGAGCAGGTTTTATTGTGATACGGTGAGTTTAATAATGGTTTTCCACGTAAACGTAAACTAATCATACTGTTTTTTCCTCAACAAAATATCCGAAGTCAACGTGGAAAAGAACATGAAATATGGCAATCAAAGAGAGCTCCTGGAATCGGTGAGTAGAAATTTTCGATGCTTAAGAAGGCCTTTAGTCTGTAGTTCTGTTACAGGACTCTTGTTGATGCAGTTACAACAGTGATAATATAGATAGCTTGTGTTAAGATCAAAAATTCAAAACAGAGATGTAAAAGACTGCCAAAGGTTTTGTTTAATGATCATTCCATTCCTTAAATCCACTGATAACCTTTTGTGCTCAGCTGACTTTCATAACGATTTTCAAGATATTTTCAAACAAAGGCTACTTTAGGTAGTCTTTCATAGGTACAATCCTGTGTTTCCTGGTATACTTTGGGAATTTTCCTACATTTCAATTTCAAACAGGGAAACAAAGACTGATTGCAATATATTATGAAAGCAATTTTGTCGTCTCGTGAAATGTGCTCAGAAAATCAGTAACTGACAAGTAATACTTCATGCGTTTGATCAGTGATGTGACCGATGCCCTCGCAAAATTATATATCCTATCAAAACCGGGGTTTTGTGCAACTGTCTTCGACTATTGGACTTCTTTTTCGACTGCTCCTTCCTTAAATTTATTGATAATCTTGATACGTCAATGCTCGAGCTGGGCTGAGTTTAATAACAATCTTTGGACACATTTCAACCAATATCACCGCATTTCTTCATTAGAATTCTTAGTCCACACGAGGAGGGGGATTTTTCCCTACATTTAAATGCACGTCTTCTCTTCCTTACCGAATTCTGATGATAGATACGATTTACGATTATTTGTTCAAAATTAAGATCGTGTCAGTGAACGTAGACAGTCTCAATCATCGGTTGTAACGAAAACGAAGACCCCTTTATTTATTCATTCAGTATGATCTTATCATGGTTTCTCGCCGGAAATATCCAGAATCAAAGACCAGTTTTACATGTACTCCCTTTAAATCTGCTCATTTGTTCCTGCCGAACGAAGTGCCAGTGAGAACCGTGTGAGAATTGTTGGATTCTTGTTTTCTTGTTGATTCCCAAATGGCTTTTATCAATCTTTGAGTATGGTACTGCAATGGAACTTTTCCAAGCTGAACCAATGTAAAATGAAAACTGGAGGAAAAGACATCGTTGCTAGCGGAGATCAAAGTAGAACTCGATCGATTATGGTCTGTTTTAGATCGTCCGAATCCTGGTAAATAAGATCGATCGTGCTTGTTCAAAGATTCCACTCTTACATACGGAGTGAGCCTATAAATAACCACATCTAGCATTTTCTTGGTTTTAATTTGTAAGTAATGTCGGGGTAACGGCCTGCATAAGAAAGCTTTGCAAAGTTTTCATTTCAACTGCCGAGCCCAGTTCATTTAAATGAAATTTAACAAAATCAAACACAAATATACCAGCAGCAATTTTCTTCCATACAAACTTCAAAATAATTTAAACAGAACTTTAAAGATACATACTGAAAATTAAAAATCGGTGTTGGCGACCACATACAACCTGAAAACACATCACAGATTTATTAAGAGGTCAATTTTATGGTCCTAGAATTAATACGAGGCAAATAACAATGTTTTGCAAGCCACAACCTTTACATCTGGCAAATTTCAGACGAATCGAGGTAGCTGGAGAGCACACTTTTTAAAGTTGACACGTTATTTTGAAAATAAAGGGGTGGTCGTTTTCGGGTCTTTTTATATTAAACCTGTCTTTTATGGAATGCTTTATCGCTATCATGATTAGAAAGATTAAAACCGGAGCTGAATTGTGGCGAGAAACTATAATAAGATTATGTTAAATAAAGAAAGTAAAGGGGTCTTCGTTTTTGGGTCTTAGCTTTCGGGGATTTTCGTTTCGCTACAACCCTATATTGTCAACATTTCATAAATTGGACGTCCATAAAAATTAATTCTATACAGTGTAAATGTATGCAATCGTCTTCTTCAATCGCTGGAATTTAAGGGAATATTCATCTTTGGTTTCCTTTGCTATTATCACAACAATTACAACTAGGAATCATATTAGTTCTCTTCTTTGACAGTAGGTCTAACCAGCTGCTTTTTGTTTAATTTCTTCCCCGATATCATTCTGTGCAAGGGTCGCTCGACTATCACTTTGAATCATATGTGGCAAATGGACAAATAACTGGACTGAAATCAAGCCGCTGGAGGAATAAATAAGTGGATTGAGATCAATTGGACAAATGGACAAGAAACTGGATTGAAATCAAAGAAGAAATGGACAAGACACTGGATTGAAATCAAGCGTACACATTCAGAGGTAGAATCTTGAATTAGATGAACAATAATAGGCTGCGAAGGTGCGTTTTAAACGCAGTTATAGTGCCTAGTTACAACCAATTTGAAGATAATCTGGAACGAAAATTTTCGACGAGTGTCAAACGAATTTAGTTTCATTCTTTTTCAAAAGCTTTCGACCACCTGCAGGATTTTGTTTTTATGAAATATGCTTCAAATCAACCTTAGAGATTGTCTGCCTTTGCACTCTGCACTCTAAGTTCAGGAAATGTTTCAAAGTATTGAAGAAATTTGTGTCATCAAACTATTTTTTGATTAAAAAAGAATGATAAACAATGAAAGAAGGAAATTTTCCATTTGAATCGACAAATTTTTGTATTGAAGGTCATGATAAGTGACGCAAATTTTTTTCCTTGGTCGTATCAATGACGGAATAATTACAACTAAAATTGTATGGACTTTAGATATTTAGTATTGTTCATACGATTCAACTTAAAACACAATTTTATTTCATTCCAAAGGAAGAAGCGTTTATTAAGCACCTTCGCTTTTTTTTTTTAAAGGCAAAGTTATGAATTGTCAACATTATTCCAATGCAGAGTTTCTTGTACCTCTTCACAAGTTAAGCGATTTTTGACATTAAATCTGATCTATTTTTTGTCATTTTTTGCTCGCCAAACCCCTGTTCAAAATTTGTAATTTTCCCGCCAAAAAACTTATAAAAATACGAAGCACTTAAAACACGCATGCGCCAGTTTTAATTTTTCGAAACTCCTTTCAAAATGGCGTAATTTTCCCGCCAAAAAACTTAGAAAATACAAGGCGCCCAAAATACGCATGCGCCTTTTATTTTTTTTTTTGAGAAGATGTACGTAATAAAAGCCATATTGTTGAATAGCAATCAATAAACACTATAATGTTTACTGTCATTCTCATCTTTATTTCAGTTAATAAATAACAAGTATTTTTCAATCATTCTTTAATTAGTTAAGTGATTTTCCATTAATTAATCACAAAGGTGTCAAGAAAAATTCGTTCAAATATATACTTATACTATATATAAGACTTTTGGCGGGAAAATTTGGAACAATTTGCACAGAGTTTCCCCTGACAACTTTCTCGACAAAAAATTCAAAATGGCTTCCCTTGAAAATTTCCGCCAAAATATGAACAAACATAACCTCGTACAAAACTTTATCTAAAAATTGTTTGCCAAATTCTAATTTACTTTCTTCGAACGTAAAATATTGGCCAATTTCGTTGTTTTCTTGTTTTGGTTCTAAAGTCTTATACCAGGTTTTGTTTGTTTGCAATTTTTTTCACCAGTTTTAACACAGCACAAACAAATTGCAAAATACAGAGTTTATTTCTCTGGTTTTGGTTTCCCCGATTTAAATATCTACATCAAATTGGTGATGAAAAGACAGTTGTGGTCT